ACGTCACTTGCTAATCGAACTGCCAGCACTGCAAAAACTCTCAAAAAACTCACCAAACTGTTCAGCTCTGCATCAACATCAGCATGACCCGTCAGACATGTGAGGGCCCCCTGTGAATTGCTGGCAGTTCGTGCATCGGGCGTGGAACATAACTAGCCGCTGCCCTCAGCCGAACTGACGCCAGAAGGCCTTCGCAGTGTGTTGGCAGTTGTTGTTCCGAATGCAGAAGTTAGGATTGCGACCTGACATCCAGTTGCGCACAGCACCCAGGGTCAAGCCGCTACCACCACCAGACTTGTGTGTGTACACAATGTGAATGCCAGCTCCAGCGCAGTTGTCCGCTTCCTTCATGGAGTAGAATGGTCCCTCCAGATTCAGCCCACCTCGTGTCATGTGCATCACATAGTAGAGTTTGGACTCAGTAATGAGGACGACAAAATCGTGTGTGGCAGCCTCTCCTCCAGTAAGTTTGTTCAGGCCTGAGAGGAGCAGGTTTAGGCCTGGGAGACCAAAGAGGTAAAACCTCCACGTCATGGAGATTATCGAGCTGCCAATGCTCCCGCTGAAGGCTTCTGCCAGGGGCGTAAACATGATGAGAGAGCACAATCCACGTGTGGCTTGGGCAAAGCGGCCTCCAAAGCATTGTGTTAGAAGTACTTCCTGAAGCCTCCGCAGCAATCAGCCACAAGACAAACAAATTAACAAATGCAGCTACGCTAGACATGAGACAGTTCGCCCTGACTTTCGTGGGGCAAATCAATTGAGTCAACCATGTCCTGCTCACTGCTCACACTGATGGACGAAATGATTGTGGGCCTGGCTGTGATGAAGACCGTCCCTTGGCAAAGACAATAGGCCCATAGGCCCGTTGACAGCGCCCGCCGTCCTGGCCTCGCCATCGCCTGGCAAAGCGGCAAGAGGCAACTGGAGGAAAGCAGCAACAGCAACTCATGCGCAACCCTTGCCATAATCCAAGGTCACTGGAATTCTCTAAAAAAAACAACTAACTTGTGGTTTTACTGAAACCATCGCCACTTTTGAAGGTCCAAAAAGGGGACATGGAGGGTTCAGGCCTGTTCCGTTTGGCTACCTTCGAAGCCTGTTGCTTTTCAGGAACACGGTACGTAACTCAAATGGGTGATCTCAACACTTGCCTCACTTCATAGGGGACTTGTTACTTTAACGGGATCGAACAAACGGAAAGCCGATCGCATCATGTGTGTAGAATCCGAAAGAAACCCATTTGTTGGCATCCGGAAAGTCACCGGTCCAAACGGCTCCGCTTCAAGCAAACCATTTTATTTTGAAGAGCCAGATGACCAGCCTTTAACCAAGTTGTGGCCAAAAAGGCATAAGCAAGGAAACAACCAGCCCTTCGCATCAAAACCCACCCTTTGGTTGCTCTAAAGTGATGCAGAACTCCCACCCTCAGTTCCAGATCGTGGCCATCTTCGGCCTGCCTTCATCCGAGGTTGGCTCTGCCTGCCCGGACATGGAGTAGCTTCTGAGGTTCCAGGGCCCTACCCGCCGTGCAAGCGAGGATCCCTCTGCCAACCCAAACTGTATGGGCCTGCAAAACAAGTACTGTTCTTTCCCGTCCCCTACCAAAGATGAACAGAACCAACGGGCCAAAAAACATGAAGAAATACTCCAGCATAGACCCCAGATAGCAAGACTGTGTCAAACTAAAGATGCCCATTCCAATAACGCCCCATGCCACCCAGCAGAGCAGCCAACATAATTCTCACAGAGTGCTCCGGCAATTCGCTTGCCAACGTCTGCGTATAGACAAGATTGCAGTTTTGGCGCTCGCTTGCTGGAGGTTTAATGGATTTGCTGAACGCGCCGCCGCTCAAGTATCCTTGCCGACGCAACATAATATCCAAAAGAACGGGCTCCGGGAGGACAGCGGGAAGACTACGGCGGCGCCGGGACGCGGCACCCCGGCGCGCCAGCGCGGAACTCTGAGTCTCGACCTGCCGCGCCCGGCAACACCCCGCGCAATTCTGAGTCTTGGCCTCTGCAACAGCACCCTGCAGCAGCACCGTGGAACGCCTGCAGTAGCACGGCCAAAAGAACCCTGCGCAATTTGATTCTTGGCCTGCCAGCAGCACCCCTTCAGCAGCACCTACAACAGCACCCTGCACATTGGGACTCGGCCTGCAGCAGCACCCTGCAACAGCACCCTGCAGCAGCACCCTGCAAAATCACCTGGCCGGAAATCCGAGTCTCACCCACCCCTTCTTTGCTTTTAGAACACCTATAGCTTTCAGCTATCTGGGGAAAAAGACATGACAGCAACAGTAAGGATTATTCCTGTGCAAAACCGGCGTGGCCCAGTAAATGCAGGTTTCTCTACGTTGGACGTCCATTTCGCATCGCCTTCCAGAAACCCTTGGAATGATTGATTTCTTTAAACATACCAACAAACGTTCCAGTTTCAATTGGTTCCAAAGCTGTGTTTCCTCTGTAAATGCCAACGAAGGCGTATGATGCTTGGATTGCACGTCAGTGGAAGACTGTATGCCGGGTGTCCCGACGATGCTCCAGGTCACAAGGACAGCATGCCAAAGTGGGCTTGACCTTTCTTGCGGTATCTGCTTGATACAACCAAGGGACTTACGCCTAAATGTATATATATATACACATATATATATATATATATATATATGTGGCATACATCCCTGGAATGCATCCCAGCCCCCTCTGGCCATATGACATACACCTTCAACAACAATTAGGACACGGGGCCGGGTGAGTGGCCGAATAGGCGGGTTTCCCTGGAAACCGGCGCAAAAAAAAAACACTCAACCCTTGGAACCCATCGATGTCCAGTCCCAAACTCGCCGATCACAAGGACACCTACTGTGGATGGACGAAATCCTGCACCACTTCGAAATCGTGGTTGAAACCCTCACGTTTCTTGGTATTTACGAAAAGAACACGTGGGGGAAGCGGTTCTCATAGGGCTTCATTTCAGCGCGAATGGATTTCGCAACCATTGGCTCGAGTGGTCTCCCAAGCCCAGAAACTCGAACGACTTCCCGCCTCGGCCAGCCTCGGTGCGCAATCCCCCGGCAAAAAACTCTACCAGAACTCCATGCCTGAAATGAGGGGGACCTTTTTCAAGATCTTTCGCACTCAAGGGTGGCTGTGTGCCAGGGCCAGTAAAAGGATTAACCCCCAGAAGTCTCCCTTCGGGACTTTGTCCCAATGCAGCTTCGGAAGGGTTTTCAAACCCCTACCTAGCATACAGGAAAATGAGATCGCTCGGACTGTTTTTGTAGGGCAGCTCAGCATGGCCTTGGATAAAAAAACAAACATGTTTTGCGCTTCGGACATTGGGGCCACCGGTGACTTTGTCTAGGTCCTCCAGTAGAGAGGATAGAATAACGGTACCAACTTTTTCGGTAGTCCCCCAAAAAGGGGTTGAGAAAGGGCACTACTGGATCTTGTCAGTTCCTCATACTATCCCTGTGCCATAGTTCTCTCTTGACAATCCGGAACATCTCACCGGAGATGTGCAATTCTCGAAACTCGGCCTTTTCGCATCTCGTCTGGAAGCGAAGCATTTCTTCCAGAAGTCATGGGAGGCCCTTCACACGCCAAGTCTCGTTTGCAGGCTTTAGCCAGCATGGGCTGACTCATGATGGGCACCGGGTTGCCACTCTGACACAAACAAATCTCCAACAAATCTCTGACAACTTCTAGACTTCAAAGCCTGAAAGGGATAGAGCTTCATGACACCCGAGCTTGTTTTACCTCCAAGCCCCCAATCAGTGAACTCGTTCTGTGCACAGATCCTGTACGCCGTGAAAAATTGCCGAGCGCCGCACTTGCGCTGCTTCTGTCCTTGCGCATCATCTGCTACCTGGCAAGTGGCAAGGGCGAAGTCTCTCGGTAGGTGTTGCACTGGCAGAATCTCCGGTGAATTCGAGCGATCAAAACTGCACCAAGCGCGCTTGTCTACAACGGACTCCCCCCCAAGAAAAAGAGTGAGAAGGGGCACTACTGGGGGACCTAGTCCAATATACTGGTTCACAGCCATAGGAACGGGAGCCATTGCATCCTAGTAACAACTAGTGACCATGAGACACGGTTTCTATTGGTGACTATTCGGCCTAACAGTGAATTCCATTTGCTTAAGCCCCTGGAAAAATAAACATGCCCAGTAGTGATCGATTCCTTTAAAACCAACAGGGGAAAATAAAACATGTTCTTACACAAATGGAAGGTGACTAGTGGCAATTGGGGAAAACGGGCCATAAACTTCCCGACGCTTCCCCCATTGGCCCGATTTATGAAAAGTGAATCAGCAGGGACCATGGCCAAGTTTCCCCAAGCCATTTGGCTGTGGCTCAAAAAACCGGAATTCCAAAATGGAACCCTGGCTAGTGGAAACATGGAAACCAAAACCTGCGGTTTGCCCCCCCTGTTTAATTTTGAGCCACTGCCATTTCTCAAGACATATCCCAAATCAGCTGTGCATCCCAAATCTGGGGGTTGTTTCTGATGGGCATGTCCCGTGATCTAGCAAAAGTAGCAGAAGCCTTGACAACCGAAAGGAGTGCCCATCCACTCACTTCCTGAGTGGAGGGGTCAAAAAAGTCAAACCTTTTTGATGGCCACTAAAATGGTCTTCCTAAGAAAGCTTCAAGTCCAGAAATTTAGGCAGTGAGGACACTGTTACATCCTGTTGCTACCAGTTTTGCCAGGTCACCGACCCTGGGATCTGCCGTGGCCTTTTCCAAGTCCGAAAATCAATCACCAGCGGAAGTGCCATTGGTCATTTGCGCGCTTTAGCAAATGCGCCAGCACTTTTGCCGGGACCTGCCCAAATCATCAAGCCAGGTTGGGAAAATACTGTGCTTGAAACCTTGAACGGATCAACGTGACCTGAGTCACAATCAAAACCCGCTACAAAAATGGTGCACCCAGAACCATGTAAAGAACAAAGAAGGCGGCCGCAGCTATTTATGGTTGGGATCGTCCCTTACTAACCCTCATCTACCCGGGTTTTGATTGTGGCTCACCTGCTTTTCGGTCAGCTCGGTGGCTTGCAATGCACGCTTTGCGTTGCGAGCGCTTGCTGCTTGCAAAACCCACCCTTAAGGCGAACCCGAACGATGGATGCAAGCGGAAGGACATCGGCGTGATCTCTGCCCAGGTCAGCCACCACCAAAACCCGGTATTAAACTTCTCCCATAACCATGCAAGTCAAAACTGCTGTCCTCAGATCCCCCGCTAAAGTTTAACTTTTCATGGGCTAAATGGAAAACCCCACTGAACACTGCAAGGCTAAAAAGGAAAAAACCGGATGGCTGGGAGCCAAGAAAAAATACCCTCGGCGGATCTCCACACCCGGCAAGGGGATTGTCCCTTACCCCTCCTTACACGGGTTCGGACGCTCAGGTGTGGTAGAGGCTCACCAAAGTGAATGTGATCACCTCAGCGGCTTAGGCTTGATGGAAAAGGTCCACGTCCGATTCCAAGCCTCGGTCCTCCAGTAGGAGGTTGGAAAAAAGAACCGACTTTGTTCTGTAGTCTATTTTAGCAGGGGAACCCTCCCAACCAAAAAAATGGGTGAGAAAGGGCACCTAACTGGGGGACCTAGTCAACCAATGAAGCCAGTTGAAACAACAAGAGCCGGGGTGTCTCGATTCAATATTATATATATACATATATATTTGCAGGGAGGCATTTAAATTTCCAAAGGTGTTCTTTGAGTTTCCACCGCGTCCCATACGCTGGCAGTTGAAACAAAAACGTGGCTTGTGGTTTTGGGATGTATCCTTCAAAAATCCCTGGTCCATGGCTCATGGCTGTTGGTTCTAGGTTGCCGCTTTCTGTGATGCGGGCGGCCACTTTCAAGCTGAGGGAGCAGGGGTTGCTCCCACTTGAGTGTCTGGCTTTGGAGCAACCCACTGGGTGTCTGGCCTTTTGGTTGCTTGATTGTAAAGGGAACCGCCTTTTCCCTTGAAAAAAACGAAAATGCCAAAATCAGGTGCCACTGGGAAACTGGGGTACTCAATGAGTTCAAGATGCCACACTTTCCACCACGGCACATAGGGGGTGGCGAATGCAGCATACCATGTGATGGTGGCATTGTTGAAGCCCAATTTGCGCAAATCCGCCCCCCCCCCCCCCCCCCCCCGGTGGTAGGAAAGGCCAAGTAGCGCCAAAACTTCGCCGTTGGCTCACTCCACAGCCACTCTACCAGCCATGGGGAGGTGGGGTGGAAGGGTGGGGATTCAATTCCGCCCCTGCATCCTTCATACTCCAACTTACCAAAATGGGAATCATTGCAGCCAAAAAAACCTTTGGCTACTTCTTGCTTGGGCCTCTCTTTTTTTCGGGTTCAGGTGCCCACATCTCCCCCCTTTTTGCGGCTTGGCCTCGATCGTGGCCCTCTTGTTTTTTTCGGCGGGCGGCGTTGGCGGTGAGGGCCCCCATCTGGCCGCAGAAGCCCATGGTGGAGGCCAAGTGCTCGGCCGCTTCCCGGCTGTTGGTGACACCTATCAAATCGATTCCCATGTGGCTAAAAAACCGGTACCAAAACCGAACCCTGGGAAGTGGAAACATGGACCAACACCTGCGTAACCCGTCCTGTTTAATTTTGAGCCACGCCCAATTGGAACCCCTCCTGTCATCGAAGCACCGCTGTACCCGGAGAAAGTTCCCAGCCTCAAAAAAATGGTTCTTGCCCCGCGTCGTTTTTCTTGGGGAGGGGGGGAGTTTGAGGGTTCAGGTTTCCATTTTGATGCCGGAAAACGCGGTGCGACCCCCCAGACCCCTGACTTGAATTCCCTGGGTTCACCAGCAAGTTGGCATCGCAGAGACTTTGGAGCTAACCCGCAAGACCCCTTTTCTTGGCGTGTCTGCCTTAGGGACCTGAAAATTTGGGTCGCTCCTGGGCCAAGCCCGGTTCTTGCACATGTCTATGCACATCTATATATCTATACACAACCACGCGGAACTCCCCACCTCCGACTGACATGCCAATCGCCCTCTTCTTTGGGGTCTGCTCGGCGCCTCGGGCTTGCAGGAACACCGCGGAGACCAGCATCCCCCGGGAGAAGAAGAAGAAGAGCACCAGGACCGGCAGCACCACTGAGGCCTGAAGCCGAATCATCCGGAAGGAATGAGACATGAACCGTTTTTCGGGCTCACCCTTGACTTTTAAAAAAAACGCCAGTTGGATGGGTTTTCCCGAAAGCATGGCGAAGGGTTCTTCCGCTGGGTTCACTTGAATTGTTCTCATGAGAGTCATTACAAGGTGTCATTGCAAGGAATCATCATCATGAAAGTCAATGCAAGGAGTCATTGCAAGGAGTCATTGCAAGGAGTCATTGCAAGGAGTCATTGCAAGGAGTCATGGCAAGGATTGCAACTTGCACTTGACTCCTTGCACTTGCAACTTGCACTTGACTCCTTGCACTTGCAACTTGACTCCATGCACTTGCAACTTGCACTTGACTCCATGCACTTGGCTCCTTGCACTTGGCTCCTTGCACTTGGCTCCTTGCACTTGCAACTTGCACTTAACTCCGTGCACTTGCGACTTGCACTTGACTCCATGCACTTGGCTCCTTGCAACTTGCAATGGCTCTCATGACTCCTTGCAATGACTCCTTGCAATGACTCCTTGCAATGACTCCTTGCAATGACTCCTTGCAATGACTCCTTGCAATGACTCCTTGCAATGACTCCTTTGACTCCTTGCAATGACTCCTTGCAATGACTCCTTGCAATGACTCCTTGCAATGACTCCTTGCAATGACTCCTTGCAATGACTCCTTGCAATGACTCCTTGCAATGACCTTGCAATGACTCCTTGAAACAAGCAAGGAGTCAAGTGCAAGTTGCAAGTGCAAGGAGTCAAGTGCAATTGACTTGCGAGGAGTTAAAATCTCTTCTTAGGGCGGCGGGGTAGTGCCCGACGACACTACACGAAAATCGACCCTCTGCGGGGATCGGCGTGGTCGAGGTGCAAAAACCCATGGTTTTTTGCGATTTCTAACCTGCTCGCGCGACCCTCTGCGGGGATCGGCGTGGTCGAGGTGCAAAAACCCATGGTTTTTTGCGGGGCGTGGTCGAGGTGCAAAAACCCATTTTCGACCCTCTGAGTGCAAAAACCCATTTTTTTGCGTGCTCGCGCGACCCTCTGCGGGGATCGGCGTGGTCGAGGTGCAAAAACCCATGGTTTTTTGCGATTTCTGCGGTGCTCGCGCAACCCTCTGCGGGAATCGGCGTGGTCGAGGTGCAAAAACTCAAGGTTTTTTGCGACTTTTGTTGTTCGAACTGGTCCTCGGGAGTTGTCTCGTGGTTCGCGCGCCTGCTCCCGGAACCGGCGGGTCGCGGGTTCGATTCCTCCCTGGTCCGCGGGCGGGCGTCGCAAGATGCAACTTGCATTTTACAGCAACTTGCGCAGAGCAACTTGCGCAGAGCAAGTTGCACAGAGCAACTTGCGCAGACCAACTTGCACCGACCAGTTTGCGCAGAGCGCCTTGCCTAGAGCAACTTGCGCAGAGCAACTTACGCAGAGCAACTTGCACAGAGCAACTTGCACAGAGCAGCTTGCACAGAGCAACTTGCAGGGAGCGCAATTTGCACAGAGCAACTTGCAGGGACCAACTTGCCGGAGCAACTTGCGCGGAGCAACTTGCGCAGAGCAACTTGCACAGTGCAACTTGCGTAGAGCAACTTGCGCAGACCAACTTGCACCGACCAGTTTGCGCAGAGCACCTTGCCTGGTGCTGTCTCGCGCTTGCTTCACGAAGTGTAGGGAAAAAGAACGCATCCTGCAGCGTTGGGCCGACCTCGCTTGCGATGTTCTGCTTTCGGGCCAACCGTGGTCTAGTTTTTCTTGGGGTCATTCCAATTCTCATCCCCTGCTGAGCACCAGCAAGCTTATCTCAGGAGGGGGGGGTTCCAAGGAAAGAGGGTTCTAAAGCCTGGGCCTAGGAAGCTTAGTTTCTCTAAAAAAAATGGAATCCCGCAAGGGCCCAAAGGGCTGAGGAGGCTTCGCACGGGGGCACTGTTCGAAAACATTGTCGGCATAGATGTGAGCAAGAGGTTCCAAGACCAGCGGGAACGCTTCTTCCAAGCGTGGGCAACTGGAGCTCTTTTCGGCGCACGTGGAACACAGTCGCATTCATGGAACATGTCAGATCAGTAAGGTGCTCAGTCGTGTTAGAAAGCAACACACTGGAAATAAATTGGCTGTGGCTCAAAAACATGTACCAAGATGGCACATTGACAAATGGAACCGAAGACTAAAACCTGCGTAACCCTAGCTCTTAAATTTTGAGCCACACCCATTTGGGTGTGGCTCAAAGAAAAAAGAGCTGGGGCTACGCAGGTATTAGTCCTTGTTCCTTTTTACCGAGGTGCCATTTTGGTACGTGTTTTTGAGCCACAGCCATTTCGGGAAACCAAAAGGACAGCGAGGCAATCCCAGTTGGTTGCACGCTTTAATTCTGGACTCTTCTGTCATTCGCAGAGGCTCACTTCAAGTGGGCAGTCAAGCAACGAAGTCGCCGCGCTTCAATATGCCGCTATTCGGACCTTTGGACCAAGCCCCATTGGTGATCCCAGGCGATATCCCACTTAGAAGCCCTAAGGAGTTCACCCCTTAGCGGGTTGTAAGGTGGGTATACCACTGACTAACTTGGCACGAAGATCCAGGTAGCAAGCTCCAACGCATCGGTGGTATCTCCTGAAAGGATCTTCGAAAAGGATCTTCCCAGGAACCAACCCGAAACCACGAGGCCATGGACCCCCAACAAGGGCGCACTGGAGAGGGGGGGGTAACTTCCTTATGAATTCCTTACGCACGGCCTTACGGGCTTATCAACTTGGCCCCACAAATAGCCCCGCCATAGCTCCCCCCGCTATGGGTCCATGAGGAAGTGCCGTCGCCTGGGCATAAGAGAGGTGCTCCGACACCACGCTGCTATCCTGAGCACGGACTTGAAACCCTTTCAAAACATAGGTGGCTATGTGTCCACAATACGGGGACCCCCCGTTTTCAAGCAAACATGAACGAACAAAACGCCCACCTCCCACACACCCACGCACACAGGCACACAGGCACACAGGCACACAGGCACACAGGCACACAGGCACACAGGCACACAGGCACACAGGCACACAGGCACACAGGCACACAGGCACACAGGCACACAGGCACACAGGCACACAGGCACACAGGCACACAGCACACAGCACACAGCACACAGGCACACAGGCACACAGGCACACAGGCACACAGGCACACAGGCACACAGGCACACAGGCACACAGGCACACAGGCACACAGGCACACAGGCACACAGGCACACAGGCACAGGCACACAGGCACACACACACACACACACACACACACACACACACACACACACACACACACACACACACACACACACACACACACACACACACACACACACACACACACACACACACACACACACATTTCAGCTTTCATGTCCAAAGTACAGGTTTGCCTTAATCGAAGCTGGTGCCACACTACGGACCAAGTCTCGTGGTCTACAAGGAATCCCATGGAGATCGCCATCCTTCACCAAGCAAACACCCAGAGCCTGCTGCAAATGAACATATTGTCGGGTTCTGGTCCATATTTAGTCTACCCTAAATCCTCGGCGGATCCAGAAGCGCAAACGTGGGGGTTGATCAAAAGGTTCTTCACACGGCATGACAATTGGGGAAAAAACGACTAAAAAGCGGAGATCTTGCACTGAATGGGAAAAGTTACCAATGGCTATGTGGGGGCCAGGAATATTGATCCACCCCTACATGGTTGATACAAACGCCACACAAACCATAGACAGCACTTTCCTGCAACTCTCCACGCTGTCATACCCCATGCATGTCATGCCCCATGCATGTCATGCCCCATACGCCATGAACCCCATGTCGACCAGCCCTTGAACAGGGTTTCTACACCAGAAAGGCTGCTGATTTGTCGCCCAAACAGTGGAAAAGGCAAACCATGATGTCGACTTGCTGGCTGCGAGCCAGGAGTTGCTCGACCAGGAGGGTTGTGTCTGTTTTGAGGCTCGCAATCCAGTTACCAATTGGAGAACCACCAAAAATGGGGCTCCCGAATTCATCCGCCTGAATTCCTACTGCACGGTTGCCGCCGACAGAAGGGGGGTTGGGTTTCTGGTTTGCAAGATAGGGAGTAGCCTTATTTGGCTTCTTGAGGAAGTGCGAGTTCAAACCCCAAAGCCACCAATTCAAACCACCAATACATTCGCCCTTATTTTTTCACTTTCTGTGTGCATTGGCCCAACATAGGCCCGAGCTTCTTGTTGGCCACTCAAAGGGGCTTTCCAAAAAGCGACTTAAGTCAAGGAATTCAAAGAGTGAGAATTAACATCACCCTTGCTATGATACCACAGCGGCCATTCCATGACTCTGACTAGTGCGTCACTTCAAAGGGGTTCCCTCTAACTTTTTTTGCCTGAATTTCAGAATTACCCCTTCAACACGGCAACGCAAAAAGAAAAACACGCGCACACAAAATTTATCGCACCTTGCCTCTTGGAGGCATTAGTTGCTCCAAGATCTAAACCGCCAACCTGGCGGGGCTGAGTCATGACACGTCAACAACAAAACTCCCCCCACCTCCCCCCCCGGCTCGTTTCCCATGGCAAAGAAGCCGTGGCCGCCCTGAGCAAGGCCGCGAAGCAGGTGGGCAGAACTATCGCCCCCACAAAGGGAAGCCGCCGTTGCAGCGGCCCACTCCTACATGACATTCGCCCTCGCCGTCATGCCGTTTTTGAGGCGAAAAAGGAACCTCTGGAGGAGGTTGGCTTCGAGGGAAACCAAAAGGAAACGCATGTTGGCAGTTCATGGCAGTTCCATATCCTTTTTGAGATATTTTGAGACAAACCCAACCTGAAACGGTCCGCGTGAGCGTACCTCAGAATGGGGAACCTAGAATGGCAGCTTCCTAGTGAATTCGCTTTGAAAGTGGGAGTGGACCCCTACGGTCCGTCAGTGTGTTAAGAAATTTTATGAAGCAAAAATCGGACCCTCGGATGAGCCAGACATAAATTATGTGAGACCCTCGAACACTCAGTCCCCACTCAAGCAGCATCGAAATTCCCTACTACAACTGGGCCAGCGCCCCAAAATTCGGGTTGTGTGCATCCCTTGTGGGACGTCTGAGGGTTGAAGGTGACAACCCAGGGCTCATTCACTGCAACCCAGGCTCAGTCCCACTCACTGCTTGGATCCGCGTTTTTGGCAGGGCTCGACAGAACGGCCTAAGCCCTGAAAACGCCGACTTAAAATGGGGTTCTTGACCCATAAACTTGTTTTTTTTCATGGGTTCCTCGGCCCCACAATATGGGGCCTAGGACCCATGAAAAACAAGCTTGGAATCCACCCATTCCATCCTTCTGGGTCGCAATAACCCATGTTTGAGCTGGAATTGTTTGAGGGTCCGGGTCATTTTTCCCCGAAACCACACCAGATCCGCCACACCAGATCCGTACCGCTTGAAAACGCGTTGCGTTTGGCCAACCCCGCGAGGTGAAATTCAAGCGATCCTAGGTCCTCCAGAGGCTAGAATAAAAGTACCATTTTTCCTGTAGTCTATTTTAGCAGGGGAACCCTCCCCAAGAAAGTTGGTAAAAGGGCACTACTGGGGGAACTAGTGATCCAAAACGATTTGGAGCCGCGGAATCGAACCGATTTGGAGCTTCCTGGAGGTCGGCGCCAGCATGCGCCCACTCACGTCCCCCACAGATTGCAGGATCATCATGTTCAGCAGCAGGTGGCACTGCTGGCTCTTCGCCTAGGCTCTGAATAAAAAAATCGAGCCGGACCTCGAACCAGGCAGGAGACCTCAAGATGTCGAGACCTCTAGAAGTGTGAACATCCTCTTCAGCCGTTTTTTCGTTTCAAGCCATCTGGCTAAAGTGACCTCTACACCCCTTGGAAAGTGCACAGGGGTTTAGAAAAAATGCTGCAACCAGTTCAACCGGAAAGGAGATGACAGCACGTATATGAGCCAGCGTCTATATTTGCTGTGTGGGGTGTATTCATTCTACTTTTAGTGAGTCCCCTATCGTTCTCCACGTTTCGCGTGTTCGTGCTGTGCCCGATGAACCCTCTGCAGGGATCGCGCGCCTCGAAGCGCTACCACTGTGGCGCCGTGCGAATTTGTAAAGCGCCCGATGAACCCTCTGCGAGGATTGCGCGTGCCACAGCGCCCTCGCTGTGACGCCGTGCGAATTTTAAAACTGGCCGATGAACCCTCTGCAGGGATCCTGCGCGCCCAAGCGCTCTCGCTGTGGCGCCGTGCAAATTCGTAAAGTGCCCAATGAACCCTCTGCGAGGATTGCGCGTGTCAAAGCGCCCTCGCTGCGACGCCGTGCGAATTTGGAAAGTGCCCGGTGAACCCTCTGCAGTGATCCTGCGCGCCCAAGCGCTCTCGCTGTGGCGCCGTGCAAATTCGTAAAGTGCCCAATGAACCCTCTGCGAGGATTGCGCGTGTCAAAGCGCCCTCGCTGCGACTCCGTGCGAATTTGGAAAGTGCCCGGTGAACCCTCTTCGCGGTGACCACGCGTGCCCAAGCGCTCTCGCTATAGCGCCGCGCGAACTCGAAAAGCACCCGACAAACTTTCTACGCAAACACAGCACTGGAACCACACGCGTAGTCTTTTGTAAGCAAATGCACTAGGCCTCACATTTGCAACTCGGGCCAATGCTCGGGGTATCGACGGGGTATCGACCGGGGTATCGTTCTGGGCGTGTGTCGCGTGACGAAAATTTTCACAATTTTCCATAAGCTGTTAGAGCCAAGCAAACACACAATAGCCTTCTCTGCCTTGCGGTAATCATATATCAGTCTTGGCGGCTTGCTTGCTGGCAGCAACCTCAAGGTCGCAAGTCGCAACTTTCACCACAAGCGCAGTGCACAAGTTACACTTCGGCAGCTCCAGCTCGAAGGTCGCAGCTTGCGGCGGTCACGTGTCAGTCTAAGCGGCTTTTGCTTGCTGGCAGCAACCTCCAGGTCGCAAGTCGCAGCTTTCAGTACAGGCACGGTACACAAGTTAGACTTCGGCAGCTCCAGCTCGAAGGTCCAGCACAAACCATGTTCAGGGGTATCGTTTTTTGTGAGTCCCCTATCGTTCTCCAAGGAAAATGCAAAAAACCAGTATTGAATGAAACGCCGTTGATAAAGTGGTCTTTGATAATTCTGAGGTTGACTCATATACTTCAAGGAAGAAAGCAGTCTAGGTGCAGAACCTCTACAGTTTTAAGCATCAACGCTTCCACGCGTCAGGACTGCACTGGTGTTCTTCTCAGCTCGTCTGTAGCTATGGCCATGGCTGTTCTATCAAACCCGTGGATGGTTTTTGTGTTTGCCGGGTCGATGGCTGAATGCAAAGGACTTGTGGGTGCCATTTGGACAAGTGTTTGTGGCTGAAGTCAAAGCTCAGCGTCCTGCCAACCGACATAACATTGTTCTCTTGCATCCCCCTCTTCACATTTGCGTTGTGAATCCAGGAGTCGAACAACATCAACCGCACCCACTGGAACAGCATCAGCCACGACTCATTTGCTTCAACTGAGGTGCCGGGAAGGCTGCGGCAACAAAGGGAAGTATGGATGGCAGAGTGTAGGTGGCCGCATAAACGAGGAAGTTCACCTGAGCTGGCACAAGGCTCGGCCACCGGCGAAGGCGACTGTGAGCGTTTCCTCATCTAATTTTGGGACTGGACAAAATGGGGGGGGGGTTGTGGTTCCCCTCGAAAAAGCTTCCAAGAAGGGGGCGCGCGCAAGATGCCTCTGAAAAGAATGCGCCTTGAGAAGCGACCGCCAGGCCTAAAGTGACATCCTTCAAGCGTACCCACAAAATGCTGGATTGGGCGAACCCCATTTGGATGCTCACTTTGAGAGGCCAAGCAAAGTCACCATAAATATGAACTTACCATCACATGTACCCGGGGGCTTGTGCGCAGTGCACACTTCTGCACGTGGCGAATCATCTGAGCCATGTGTGTGTGTGTGTGTGTGTGTGTATTGAGGGTACCGTTTTCACCTTGTTTTAACAAACAAATGCGAAACAATTTCTTTGAGGTCCGTTTTTCCCGAAAGCAGTGCGAAGGGTTCTTCAGGAAAGACCTGGAGCGGCAAGATAGCACTAGCAACATGCACTAGCGAGTAGCACTAGCAAGATAGCACTAGCAAGATAGCACCAGCAAGCTGCACTAGCCAGTAGCGCTAGCCATTAGCACTAGCAAGATAGCACTAGCAAAATGCACTAGCCAGTAGCACTACCAAGATGCACTAGCCAGTAGCACTAGAAAGTAGCACTAGCAACATGCGCTAGCAGTTGCACTGGCAAGTTGCACTAAGTTGCATTGGCAGGCTAACAGGTTGCTTCGGGGTACAACAGCAAGTTGCACTTATTTGACCCATGCCCATGCATCGCACAGGAATTCTCCAAGGCCTCCGAGAGGCTAGAAGCTTCGTCCCGCATCGAGTGCCCCAGCTAGCTTTCGAGTCTGCACTCTCGGCGGATTGGGCCAATGAGAACGTTGTATATATTCGTCTAGGGGACGCTTCCCCATTCTGTCCAGGGATCCTGCTTTTCAGAAAACCATCAGAACTGCAGGGGAAAGCGCTGGTTCTTTAAAATGATGATGGTTGAAAAGAATGCTTGGAATCAGCCCCAAGAACTAGGGTCCAAGACCAGAAAGTGACCAGTTCTCAACTTGACATTTGGCAGGCGGGACCCAATCCCCCCCCCCTCCATACCTGTCGCAGTCACCATCTCGAAGATGAGGATCCTCGGGCAGACGCTGGCTGAATGAACCGGAAACTCTTTTTCTTGGCGCGAGGTACCCCAGTTCCCTGAATTCCCTCAACATCACGCGGAAACGGGGAACCTGACGGAACGGTGATACTGCCGGCTGAGAAAGGAACAAAAACCGTGAGATTTCTGATAAAAGGAGCCCAAAAAACACTCCGAACAAATGTCAACGCCTCACAGTTTTGTTGGAGAAATCCCGGCACGCCGGCGCCAATTCTTTCCACAGACGGTCTCTGTCAAAATCGACGAAATCTATGATCGCCGACATACCACTCACACTAAACGAACCGAACGGTGTTGATGGCAAACCAAACAGCCGAGCTTGCTAAACCACTCATGTGCCGCCCGTGCGCAAAAAGGCAACACACACACACACACATTCAACTGTTTTCAGTGCTTCCCTTGAAAAGTCATCTTGCTTGGCCAGGCCCTTGTCCACAAAAGCTCCCTGGACCCAAGACATAGTTCCATCACTGGCCCTCTGAACAGTTTCCATGGAACTCCCCACGGTCGCCACCACAAACAAGGCCACTTTGTGCTTGCTGTGACAGAGGGTCTTCCCAAAAATGACTCAAGTCCATTGCGGGAGTCAGCAAGTACCCGAGCATGCTGTAACGAGGGCAACCGCATTTTCAGACACGTCACCCGAGAAAACAAGTTCAAATATCGCCACACAGTTGGAACTGGCCGGCAAAAATCAGCCCTCCCCTCCTGGCAACAAACACAGCAATCCAAGAACACAGCGACACAAGGTTTACCAGTCAAAAGGTCTTACCAAAAAGTACGTCCAGAAAGCGCCAGTTCAACTCCTGCGGTTGTGGGTGCCCGCCCTTTTGAGGCTCGGATTTCAAGAAGAATGCAGCGTGAATGTCAGTCACGCTTTGGGTCAAACACTTTTTGGTTGCGGTCAAGCACGTACGCCATGCTGGAGCACTTGAAACTGCTCTCACGAAGTACAGAGTAATGCAGGGCCGCAGAACCATGGACTCGGAAACACCTTTGTGTTTTGCTCAAGCCCTGCAGATCTGCAGGAAAACTTGCTCTAAAACAGGAACTTAGCTGGGGATACCGTGGATGGACAAACAAGGGTGGGATGGATATCGTCCATCCACAGTAGCAAGCAGTTACTAAGCGGGGCAGCAATCCAACTCGGTGTTGATAGGGGGTCTGGAAAAGCCTTGGTATGGTAGCAAACAACCATGTTCTTTGCAGCCCCCTACTACAAAATGAACAGAACCAACAACAAAATCTAAACCCCAACAAACCATGCCAACAACCAGTGAAGCCGACCATATCTTTACTTTTGGTCCAAAAAACACGCCCTAAACACCTTCACGCCATCTTCCTCCATCTTCCTCCCCTCCAGCTTCCGCCAAAAACAAATAGTCCAAGGCCAAGGCGCAGCCTCGCGTGGGGCAGGCCCTCCGCCTCCGGCCCCGGGTGCTCCTTCTCCTCCGACGCCTCCTCGCCCTCCTCCGCCCGCAGCAGGGCCACCGCCTTCCTCGGTGCTGGGAGGAGGGAGGCGCGGCAGAGCTCGGCGCGGCCCTTTTCCGGGCCCCGTTTTGGTCGGGGGATTTTGTTTGGGGAAGCCGGAAGGCAAACCAAAATTTATGAACTTTTTGGAGGCCAGAAGGCTAATTTCCATTTTTGGGATCTCCATACTTTGAGACAAACCCAAGAAAAGCGGTCCATTTCCCACAATGGCAAGGGGGGTCCAAAAATAACAAGGCCAAGCGCCTCAACGATTGAGAAAGCGCTGCTTTCGAACATGACAAAAGCCTTCCATGCAACCGGATTCGCTTTCAGAAGGCTCTCTTGACGCTCATCACTTGTAGCCTTCACTCACTTCCGATCGAGTGGATTGGCCACACAAAGCCACCAGGCACAGGTGCGCTTTCCACCCAAAGTTTGGTCCAAACCGCCGCTCCAAAAAACCCCAGAACTCGGCAACTGGGGTGAGAACGAATGAAGGCATGGATCAATTCAACTGGATTCAAATGGATCAATTCAATGAACTCGGTTCTCAGTTGTTCAGTGACCCTGGCAAAAGAATTGGGACCCTGTTTTGGGCTTGGACCCTTTTAGTGGGGCAGCCACCAAAAGAAAAGTTGGGAAAAAGAATTGGAGCCACTGAAGAACTGAGGGTTAGAATTCAAGTGGATCAGTTCCAAGGAGCTCGTGCATGGGGTTGACCCAGTGCACCAGCTTCTTCCCCAAACTCTCCGACACCAGGCTGGCTGCCCACGCCACCGTGTGGATCAGCTTGTCCTGGCTTGGTGTGATACTGTGGATGGACGAAATCCTGCACCAACTGGGAACCATGGGAAACCATGGTTTGTTGGTATATTTACAGGGAAGTCATCATTCCGTTGGGCTTCTTAGGTGGTGCGAAATGGATTTCGCCACCATCCACAGGGAATGAGAAATGGAATGAACCCTCGGTGCCCCTGAAGCACACCAGTTGCATGGCTTTTCTTGGGGTCAGTCCAATTCTCTCTCCCTGCTGAGCACCAGCAAGATGATTCCCACAAAAAAAAAAACAACACCACGCGGCTGGAAGAACTTTTTGCGGACCCCCCCCCCTACGCATAACGTGCCTTTTGTGCCTTTTTGCATGTGGCTGGTTTGACCCAGCAACAGGGCTTTCCTGCAATGAGCCTGGAGTAACCCGTTGAAATCTAGCGGTGATTGTTCATACCAACCAACCCTTTTACATCTTGAAATGACCCTCAAAAGCTTGCTGATGTTCACCAAAACGGGGTGTTTGACGATGCACATGCCTGGCTTACAAGCCACTAAGATCCACTAAGTGGGCCTCAATCATGGGTCCTAACTTACTCTATAGCCTCCCTTTGCACTGGGAAAAATCATGGTCTAGGAGGAGTCTAAAATGGTTGATGGTCCCTTCTTTCATGCCATGCATCATGATAGAATTTCAGTGTCCAATGTGCCGCCTTCACACACGTCGCCCCTACCCCTGACACGGGATGCCCTTCGATGAGTTGAAGGTATAAAACAATCACCAGGGCTTTGTCACGTGTTGAAACATCTGCAAATCTTCCTATAATCCCAACAGCTCTTTGGGTCCTGCTCGGTCGTGTGCGGAACAGGCCCTTGATAAATGATCTTTATCGCGGCGAGCTCGTTATACCCCCAGGAAACCTACAAACCTTGACCAATGGCATAGTGACCCTAAGTTGAGTCGGTTCTGGCAACAGCTCTAGAAAACGGTTTGGATGTGGCTTTTCTGGTTCCACCCCTGCAAAACAAAAGTACTAAAAGATTACGAAAAAGAAGCCAGGGGGAAGAACAGGTTCATAAAAGGCGCAAATCCAAAACGGTTTCTAGAACAGCATGGGATCGCAGGATCTTCTCGGATCTTGACTGGCCAATCACCGTCCAGAGGTGACCTTCTGGAAACATAGCTGGGGCTCTCTGGTAGATGGGGCAAACCAATCCAAAAGTGGAACTCGTCAACTTTACAACCCAAGAATGAACAAAGCCCCAAAACTTAAGAACCCGAAAACATCCCAACAACAGTGAAGAACATTTTTTAACCAAACTAAGCGCTCAAAAGGACACACATCTAAGGGCTGAGGGCAGTGAATGGGGAGTCGGCACATGACCGCGAGCTCACACTCTATACGTCCTGGATGACGAGGGTGACGAAGCCCCACAGCAGCCTTAGAGAAGTCAAGTGAAACTCGGGGACCCTTGCTGGCGCTCAGCAGGGAATGAGAAATGGAATGACCCCTATAAACCATCCAACTGGTGGATTCCTGTAAGGAAATGCCCAGATATATTCCCTCATTCCCTACTGAGCACCAGCAAGGTGCCTGTTTTTCCAGCCACAGAGCTGTGTTTCGACCTCCAGTTAACCTTTCATTAATAGGGCCCAAAATACAGGTGTGGAAAAACAGGCTCAGCCATGATTCCAGAAATCCTGCATGCAAGCCTTCAATGGTCACGCTTCCCCTGTTTGTGTTCTTGACTATGGCTTCACATCCCTGAAGAGTTGGTAACCCTCGGCAACCTGCAACCTTTGCGAAGGCGCTCAGGCGCGCTCAGGCGCTTGAGGGGTGCATGTCGAGAGCACCCTGCAATGCACTCCCTTGGCCCTTGCTTAACTGGGCTGTGCGTTTTCGGATCCCCTGCTAAAAGTTGAGCTGGTGGGTTCAATGCGCATCCCAGTCAACCAAAAAGCTAGACACCTATGAGGGGATGGCTGGGAAGTGCCAAGCTAAGCATGATTCAAGACCCCTTGTTCAAACAAGCCTCTTTGGGCCCCCTTTCAAGGGATCAAGACCAGGATCTGGTTGTGTTCATCAATTTGCAAGCATGTCTGCAGGATGGTCATCCCCCTTTTGGTCAACACTTCAAGGGATGCCAACCACATTTTGGGACCACAATATTGAGAAACACCCATGGCAAGGAGACTTTCCTGTATTGAGCCAAAGCGTCTGGAAGCAGGCTGCAATCACAAAGAAGGTGGTGATGCCAAAGCGCGGGCTGTCCACATCTCGTCCACTGATCTGTGCGCGGCCAAAGGGAAAACTCTAAGTTCAACTCGTGGTTTGCCAGGTCGATATGACACGGCTCTTACTAAACATCTACACGGAGGTTTTGGACGTCGCTCTGATGGATTGCCTGTTGGGACGAAACATCCGCCCCAGCAAAATCGACGTCTCAAATCTAGGAGAAAGTCGCTCTCGGGGCTCCGGGCTTCAGACTGACAGCGAAGACCCCCTCAAGGTCCCGCTCTACGGAACCATCCAGTACGTTTGACCCACGGACACTGGTTCCATATCTTTGTCTGAAGGGGCTCCTTTGCATGGGTTTCCGTGCAAAGGGGCTGAGAGCATGGGCGAGATCAGCGCTTCCCCTCGTCAAGCCAGGTGCCGTAGACTTCCTTCCCTCCTCTGGCTTTTCCCCCCAAGATTTGTTTGATCGAAGCACACCAGGCTCAGACCTCGACCCGGCCTGGAGGACGGACAAAGCGAGCACCACCAAATTGCCCAGGGACATTCCTGCGGGCGAAGATTCGCCTTGGCCCCCCTGGAGGCTCCAAGTCTTCTGATCGTTGGGCTGTCCGTTTTCAGATCCGCTTTCAGTGACTAGCTTGTGGACACCCAACCAACACAATTAAAATCCTAACCGGACGACTCGCTGGAAATCACCAAGTGTGGTCACAAGGGGTCAGCTACATGACTACATCCTCACGATTGGACATTTGGGGCCTGAACATCTTGGCGGCCCCAAGAAAGTTGACCTTTCGGAGGCACAGGCAAAGTTTGGGCTTCAGGAGGTGGACCAAGTTGACACGTGGCTTCCTTGCTGGCATGGATTTTGGGTTCTGATATGGGGTGTCTGTTATGCCCGGGCCCTGTCTTACCGTCTTACCTCTCCAGCTGCCAAGCTGGAAGCTTTGTGTTGCCAGGACACCTGGAGGTCTCCTTCTGACCCGTGAAAGATGGGGTCACAAGCCAAAAAAAAGGCTTGGGTTCTGGCATAGGTGTCCTTTTAGGGGAAGTAGATGGGGTTCCCTGGTAGATGATGAAACCACCAGGTAAACCAGGAATCGCCATCTATTTTTGGAGCAACACAACAAAAAGGACACCTATGGGTTTTGACCCCATGTTTTACGGGTCATGGAGACTCCAGCTAGGCCCCACAGGTCTGCGAGCGTCTGGGTCTTGTTCGGGGCATTTCAGAAGCATGGCTTGAGACTTGGGTGTCGTTTTGTAGGATTGGACCCCCAAAGTGGAATTCGGCTTTCCTTTTGGTTTCCCTATAAACCCACAAAAAAGTACCGCAACTCCAGAGACACACCCTTCTTTGGGCCTGGTCGTTTTTAGGGAACCCCAAAAACAGGCGTGGTGTTCCTAGTGGTCTCCATCTACCACCAAACAAGGGGTAGTATGGTTCCATTTTCCCTTGGAGGACTAGACAACAGACCGAGGCTCAAACAAAGACGCCCCCCATTTGGTCAGGGTGGACAATTTGGTTCGGAAACCCTGGTGTCCAAGCTCATCCTTAGATATCGGTTTGGATGTGACGTTTGTGGATTCACCGCCGTAGATTTGTTTGTAAAAGGAAAAGAACAAACAAAAACAATATAAAAAACAAAACAACACATGGTGAAATATTACTAACAAAAAGAGACCCACCAGGCAGAAAGCCCGGTGAACTCCACGTAACCCGCCGGTCCAACCTCGTGTTCTCTCGAGGAAAAGCGCCCGGTCCTACGCCCACGGCCTTGGTGCAGGGCGGTGGGTGGCGCATCACCAGCGACCTGGGCGTCACTGGGCGGGCTGCCGGGGGTTCAGCCCCGAAAAGTGCCTAGGTCCAGTAGGGAGCTAGGAATAACCAACTTCTTTCTGTTCCCCTTCCTTTCCCGGATCTCCAAAACCAGAACCTAGGTCCAGTAGAGAGGTTGGAATAAGTTGGTACCCAACTTTTTTCAGTTTCGTCTATTTTAGTAGGGGAACCCTGCCCACAAAAAAGGGCAAAAGGGCACTACTGGGGGACCTAGGTGAGTTGGGGTGGCTCCAAAAGGCGCGACCAGAAGCAATATGGCCATGGGTCCAAATCGTACCCCCAGTGAACATCTCAATCCAACCGCTACAATAGGTTCTAAAATGGGTGGTGCACCTACCCCAAAATCAAGGTAACATCGAATAAGTTATTTCGCAACATGCAGAGTTATGTGATCAATGGTCCAACCACATCAAATCATAAACTAAAACCATTTAGATGGGATGCCATTTCAAAAAAATATCAAACAGAAAATCAACATGGGATCCCATTGGTTTTGACCCACAGCCATATGGAGCTACATTTGAGCTCATTTGCTTTTGCGCTAAAGAGATCCTGGGTAAGTATGAGGGAACTTGATATCGGCATCACGCTGGCACTAAGGGGACCCTCAAAGTTTCAGCTCACAAATGACTTGTTGCAACCCCCCAGAAAGGGGGTGGCTCCCCTTTTTTTCTGGGTAGTTTGAAGGTTCAGGTATTTACTTTCTTTGGGTAAGGGAAACCAAAAGAACCAACTCCCGTTTTGTGGGCAGTGTTTTTGAGACCAATGCATGATTCCGCACCGTGCCGGCTTGCACAAGAGCAAAACAACTAGAGGAAACAAGAGCCAGCGGCATTGCAAAACTTGAGGGATCCTTTTGGGGACCCCTCCTTGCAGGTGGCCCTTGTTTGTCTCCAGGATCCCCTAAAAACAAATCCAAAAACATCTGCAGCAACATCTGAAGGGCATTTGCCGAATAGCCCGACTCTTGGCCCGTTCCCGCCTACTTCGTGGATGCCATGACCACCAAACCGGCTGTGGCTCAAACAAATGCGCCGGAATGGTGCCTTTGTAAATGGAACCAACTCTCACTTGCCCAAAGGACCTGCAAATAAAAGGTTAACCTTTTGGGACCTCTACTAAAAATAGACCAAAAAGGGAAAACCAAAAGGTCAAAAGGTCGATTCGCTTTGAACAACTGAGAACTAAAACCTGCGTTCCCGCCTAGCTCTTTGATTTTGAGCCACACCCAATCGACTTTTCCCAAACAGGGGAAGTTTCAGTGGTGGAAAATCGCCCTTTCTGCAAAACCAACGTCGGCCATCCCCATGACGAAAGTCCGAGCCTCAAACACCCGAGCCAGGCCCTGCATGTGCTTAAGTCCCCTGGAAAAAAAAGACACTGATTTCCAGTAGTCAGATTCTTCTTGAAACCAACAGGGAAAATAAACGATGTGCGTTTCAGAAAATGGAAGGGTACCAGGCTATGTTTCTTGAAACTCTGTTGGCCCAACTCAGGTGGTTGGAATAATTCATCCCCACCTAGATGCACTAGATGATGTCCACCATGTCGGGTCCCGAAAAAAGAATACCCATGTGGTTGTCTCCTTTTGTTGGATTTGGACCCCCCAAAAAATGGATTTCGGTTTTCCCCGGTGTTGAATTCATATAAAACCACCGAAAAAGGTGTGGCCACATAGTGTGGATGCACGAAATCCATTTCGCACCACCTAAGAAACCCTGGAATGATGACTCCCGTGTAAATGCCAAAAAACGTTGTGGTTTCCCATGGTTTCATCCATATCACACCACCACTTATCAGAAACCCAACGGAATGATGACTCCCTGAAACTCCAACCAGCAATGGTTTCCACCATGGTTTCAGTTCGCGGTGCGAGAAAATCACGGATTTCGCGAAACCATCCACAGTTCCACCTGCCCGGACTCTCCGCTTGCCTCCGCTCGTTCGCTGGCAAGTGGCCAGTAAGTGAGGTCTGAGAGGCAGCCCAGGCCGCCCGCCAGCACTGCCAGGCCCAGCAGGGGCAGTGAGGCGTTCGCCACCTGCTGGTCCTGAATTGGGCGGCTAGGGGGGGGGGTGGGGATGGGGCATGGGTGGGGGGACGAGAACTGGAATGACGCCAAGATCAGCAATCCAACTTGTGGTGTCCTTTCTTCGCGAGTCCATTTCCAAAACCTGTTCATTCCCAAAACCCGGAAGGATCATTCCCAGAGCACCAGCAAGTTTGAGGGGTGGTGGGGGTGTCCAAGGTCATGAGGTCCCTGAAAGGAGTAGAGGTGGACGGGTGGAGGGGACGTTCTGAGGGGGGGTGGGGTCGCCCGGTCTAAGCTTAAGGCGGCTTTGTGTTCTTTGCAAGGCGGGGGCTAGTGTCAACAGGCTGACGATGCCGGACCACCATCGCAATAACAGTTCAAACCATGCCTCGTCCAGAATGTTACGCTCTGGGTTTGCTGCAAGCTCGAAGCGAGGCATGGTCGAGTCTTGAAAGGGGAGATGGGGTGCCATGTTCATTGATGGGTGTGGCTCGTTTTTGTTTGGAGTACCAACTTTTTTGGCTTTCAACGGAAACAAAAGGGAAAGCCAAAGCCATTTTGGGGGAATGTTAAAATCGACACACCCAAAAACCGGGGTTTCGCAAGTTGAACAACTTTTGAGTTTTTGGGCCCTGCCACGAAATCAAGATAACAAACAGAGGTTCAATGGCTCAAAGGATTGAACGCGTGTTTTGTTGGACAAGTGAATATAGGGCAGCTCCAAGAACTCAAGAAAACGGGGTTCTCACAACGGCGGACACCTTTTGGATTTTGGTAGTTAACGAGAAACCAAGAGGAAACCTACCGTTTTAGGGGACCTCGATTTTGAGAAGCTCCCATTTGCTCATCCTACGTTGAGGGCCTTAAGCGTCCATAACTCCCACTCAGTATTGGATTCAGGGGGCTCAACATCGCTTAAGGTTCCCTCCACGAGGAAGGGTAGACAAAACATGCACCTCAACACGTCCTCCACAGTCTGCACAGGGCAGCAAGGCTTAAAGCAACGGCTGCAGCAATCAACAGATTGCCCTGACTGCCCCGAATCCAATTGAACCGGTTTGCGTCACGTTGCTGCTCAAAACATCCAACTAGTAGCAGTCAAGCAACCAAACTAGCGAACTCTCTTGCCATATCTGAACTCAGTCAGAGGAGGATCCGCAAACTTGGACCATGTTGCCTCATATCATCTCATATTGCAGCGTCTGGACACACATTTGAAGCACCGGAGGCGCGCAACATCCCTGGAATGAGACGCGACTGCTTGCCGCATTGGTGTGGCGCTTGCTACCCGGTCACTCGCGGCATATTTATTCGCAGTGGCTCATGCAGGTCCCCAGAAATTGCGGCTAAGCAAAGGTGACCTAAACTTACCCCTTAAAACTCCAAGCCCTGGGGAAGTTAATCTCTTACAGACATATAGCCCATGTTACCCAAAAAGCTGAAAAGTTCTGTTTTTAAGAGGCAAGGATAGATATTGTTTGTTTCTTTTTTCTTTTTCCTCTTTTTTTTCTGGTAGATGGATGGCCCGATCCAAACCGTGGAACCCGTCTTTCCAAGTTCACACCAAGAGTCCCAGCAAACGGCGAGGAGCATGAGGATGAACAGCGACACCTGGTGCATGCCGTTCACAGTCGCCCCCGCCTTGGCCCGAGAGAGAGGCAAATAGAGAAATCTCTTGGAAAGCTTCCAAGAGAAAAAAGGGTGGCTCGTCTTTTTGCTTGGTTGTTTTAAAGAGAAACAAGGAAACCCCGATCTTCAAATTCAACCATATGGGTGTGTTCCTTTGAAGGCATCCTGCGTGTGGTTGGTTCGCGGAAAGCCAAAACCAGCATTTGTTGGGCTACCTGGTGCACAAACATGGAACTTGCCAGGGGTTCCCTTTTAAAGGAACAGAGTCTTCCAGGACCCCCCCCCTCCGGAATTCCATGTTTGTGAATGGAAGGATATATTGCACAGGTCCTCCAGTAGAGAGGTTAGAATAAGGGTACCAACTTTTTTTCTGGTAGTCTATTTTAGTAGGGGAACCCTCGCCCAAAAAAGGGGAGATAAGGGCACTACTGGGGGACCTAGTCGCTATATTGACACATACCCACATCGGCCAACTGCTGCCCATGCCACATCTATGGCACCAACATGGTGCTCGATGACCTTGTAGCTGATGGAGAAAATATTTCCTGGCAGCTGCATGAGCAAGAGGTGGTTACTTGACCCCTTGAGCCGGCCACTAGCATTTGCCACACACCCCTATATAACCTAGATAAATATATTGGGGTTGGGGTAAATAGGAGACCCTTCTTAGGTTTCAAATGGACACCCCAAAGGACACCACCTAGCTGGAGGGGTCCCTGAGAAACACCCATATGGGGTTGGGGTTATGTGGCTGGAGGGCCAATGACTTCCTTGCGTCACTTGCTCACCAATATGAAGGTATAGGACAAGTACAAAGTAAACCAAAAAGCATGAAACACATGTCTGGTCATTCATTGCAAGGAAGGGGCTGGAACCCAGAGACTAGTTCCCAGAGCAAATAATACCGTGAATGGATAGCAACTCTAACCACCAATACAAAATGAATCTCAAACATGCTCATGAATCGATTGCAAACAAGTCCATGGTCTTCCAGGACCCCCCTGCTCTGTCAGATTCCATGTTAATTGGAGAGAGGGCAAATGTGCTCAGAATGCCAAAACCTCACTGAAGCGAGGCACCCCCTGAACGACCGAATTACGTCACGGCGACTTTGTCGCAAATAGCCCAAAATGCCACTTCGAACTTTGGGCCGACAACTCTGCAGGGGTCATAGTAAACCCATACTTAAAAACCTTAATTACCCAGAACCCCCCAGCCCCCAAACCACTGGTTTTCGACATACTTGAGCCCCTCACCCCCACCCCCCTCCCCTCGCACCAAAAACGACGACCCCCCGTCTTCGCTTCGCTTCGCGCCTGCTTGGGCCATCATCGAGAGCTGGGTGCCGAGCGCCTGGCCCTCGGGGAGCCTCGCCACCAGCAAAGGCAGCTGGGCGAAGATGGCGTTGCCCACCCACCAGCTGCCTCGGAAGGTTTGCGCGCGTTTCGGGGGGGGGGGGGAGGAAGGGGAAAGGGGTGGAGCGCGCCCCTCTCCGGGCATTTCAACCAAAACCCGTTTAGGGCCTTTAGGGAGGAGGCCGCTCTTAGGCCGAGATATGTTCAGTGAAAAATCCCAGAAAAGAACTCTCACTCGTGTACGGCCCCGGAAAGCAATCCCTCCTCAGGCCCTCCAAAGAGAAAAAACGATTTTTGTATTATTTTACCTGGAATCAGGGACCCTACCCCAAAGATCCCCCCTTGGGAGGGGGGCCTCTTTGGCTTCAGGCAACATATTTCGCGAAATAGGGTCATGATCAAAGACATCCTGGGAGTTGGATCTGGATTGAATTTGTTGCACTTGCCAGAAAGGCGGTTTCAGCAAGAAACAGTCTAGGGCCGTTTCACAAACCAAGGGGTTGATCCGATCCCAACGCGTGCAACCAGGCGGCTCATTCCAAACCTCAGATCCGGCAGAAGCAGCGCCGCCAAACCCAGGATTGTAGACGCAGGGTTCCACTTTTTGACCCGAAAGTAGACTTAAACCCTGTGGTGATTCATTACCCCGAAAAGGTGAACCCCTGAGTTTAGGTCTGTCTTGGGATAGTCAAGAAGTGGAATTCTGCACCCCGGTATTTTTCCGGAAGTCACCAAAATGTCAGCGTGGGCGGTATATCCAAACGACGAGTCTGCAACGCGGTCCTTTGACCAGCGAACTTGCAAAAAAGTTCGGAGGTGTTTGGAGAGGGGATACATGAAGCCACAGGTGACCTTTTGGAAACACAAACAGCGCTGGTAAATGCAATCACTGCAATCTGAGCTAGTGGAACCGTCTATTTCTAGCCAAACCGATCAAAAGGACACCTGTGAAATCAACTGTGAATGAACCTTCGGGCAACTTGCGAGGTGGCCCCATGACCCGTTTCCTTTCAGAGCTTCTGATGTTGGGTCAATTAATTATCATACAATGCACTGAAGGTGTCCCTTTATCCTTTCCTGTGCTGGTGTTCTTTCCAACCCTTGGTATGGGCTTGCAACCTACTGCCAATGAATCGAAGCCACACAACGCCGAAAAATCTGAAAACATGGCCAAGAACAGTGAAGGGTTTTGACGTGGGTATGGGAACTAATTAACCCACCAGAAGAGAGGAGGTTTGTGTTTTCTCTTGCCAAGGTTGCGCTTCGGGTACCCATCGTTGACACATCCGGAATTGAATCGGGCACTTGGACTGTGGGAAAACGGTGGATGTCAAGCCAGCTGCGCTAGTTGGCCGCAGGGGTCGCTCAAATCCCCCACTCAGCACCCGCCCACTCCTCCCATCTCACCCCTTCGATGTAGGGCGTAACATTTGCTAGACCTGAGCAAGCTCCAGAGCCATGTGCTAGTAAAGCTACATCTGTTTATCATACTTTAGCTACGCTTAGCTAAGTGGTTAGCTGCGCGCAGAGCTATCTATTTTAACCACTTTGCTAGAGGCTTAGCTAACTCCAGCTAACTTGTTTTGCAAGCGCTGCTAACTTGCTCTGCAAGTGTTGGCTCTAGTGAGAAAATGGTTTTCTTTCCGTGTGTTATTGTGTTTTTGTATGATGTCCAATGGTTGTTGTGCAGTGCTGGCCTGATTTTGCTTTCGGACATACAAGATTCGCATGTTTCACACTCATGCGCTGCATGTCCAATGTTCATGTTTCAAGCAAACCAACATTGGCTGCTTCAGGCATGTTTGTCAGCCAATGATGGCTACCATTCCAACGTTGGCACCTCAGAAATCAAGATCCAGCGATTCGTGAAATGACGCAAACCTTTGCTTGACAAGCACAGGGCTTCAAGATGCAACCACTTGGCTTGGGTATAGCTTGTGTATCTAGCTTTGCCAAAAGCGGCTTTTGGGGAGCAAGCCACATGGCAACATTATGTCCACACAAGCCACTAATGGCATGGCAGTCAAGCCACGAGTGTTGTGAACTTTGTTTGGGTAGCCATTGCAGTCCAGTTGACTTCCAGTGCCAGCAAGATCACCAGACTCCAAGCCAGTCCAAATTGAAAAGCCCAACCTTCTAGGCTTCGCACGTTTCCCAGGAAAGCGGTGGTGGCCTTTGAGAAGTTGAACCCCCATTCCGGGTTCAAACGTTCCCCAACTCCTTATGACCAGCCTGATCACTGGCTTTTGGGCCTGACCCCAATCGTCTGACCTCCGGTCCGCCTTCTAGACTGAACATGGCAGTGATCGTCACAAAATTACGCAATAGTATTAATTTGCACGCTGTAGGATTGCGTTGGTTCATGGCTTGATCCGCTGGGCCAAAGCCAAGTATCATAGTGAATGTCATGCCTGGTGTGCCAATGTCCACATATACTTGTGCAGCGAGGCTTGACTCGACACCAAAGATCTGGTTTCTCAAGGCACGTGTCATTGCCAACCCCTGGAACGTGTGACTTGTGTAGCCAATTCAAGTGGTGCAATGCTAAACTACATCCAGTTCAAGCTCATCATGCATTTTTCTTTGTGTAGCCCTTTGGCTTGGCATTTGCCCTGCATGGCTACTTCAGCACGAACCTGGTTTTCCACGGCCTTGTTTGCATTGGTCTATGCACAACTATTGCCTAATCCATTGGTTCCACATGTGGCCAGCTCTGGTACAGGCAAGCCTGGAATTCACTCAGGGCATTTCCGTACCTGCCCATGTAGCAAAGCTAGGCGCACGAGAAACATCCTCCAGAGGCAACCATCCGAACACAGCATGCATCTATGAATATGTGAACAGACTTGCGCGTGTTGAAATATAGACGGATGAGTAGATGATGATGGGATCGATAGGCGGCTCAAAATACCGCAAAAGCCACGAAAAAAAACGACTCGTGAGAACTGAGTAGATTGGACTCGTGAGAATTGAGGGAGTTCGACTCGTGAGATTTAAGTGCGCTTCCTCTGGCTTATGATCAATCAACAATGCCACAAAAGCCAAATACAACAATGTGAGCTTGCTTTGACTGGCCATGCATGAGCTTTTGTATCATGAGCTCGTATGGCTTATCCCTTTGAATGAATGCACATGCACAGCGTTGATTTGCAGAATGATGAGCAGCATTGCCAGAACCTATCTATTTTCTGGAATGCTCTGGTGAGTCTAAACAAATTGCTGCAAACAAGGCAGAACAAACAACAACAAATTATTTGACATTCACTCCATATGTAATAAACCTAGCTGTTTTTTTTGCTAACCACTTAGCTAACCACTTAGCTAACCCCGGCTAACCACTTCGCTAACAACTTAGCTAACCACGGCTAGCCCCTGGCCAACCCACTTAGCTAACCCCCCAACTTAAGTCCTTGGCTAACTAGTTAGCATTTGTTAATATGTCTTGCATCTTCGCCCCGTCAACCGTATGTCCTACTAACTCCAACACCCGAAACCCCGAAACGGCCATATCTGACTTTGATCCCAAGAAACGGTCATAACATGTCATGACGCCGGTGATCGAAGCCCTGGCATAGGACATAAGGACATGTCTTCCTGGACCTTCAAACTCCGGGAAATTTCTGGGTGTTTTAGGAGACCCCTACGATTTACCGAATTCTAGTGGTTTAGCTACAATTTGGGCAAAAACACATACGAATTGCGTCGTTTCCAGTCGCGCATGGCCATACAAAGTAAACACCTCGCGCACTTGCCACGTGCCAGTGAACACCACGGGATGCCTTGATCGTCAAAACTATGTTTTTTCTGATTTGCGGGAGTTTTGCGGACATTTGCTGGCGTTTTGCGGTCAAAATGGGTACGGTTTTTCTGCACCGCACAACTTTGGAATGCCGTTGCATGTTTTGACAAACTTGCGGGCTTCATTCAGTCGTTTGCCCCTGCAAACCTTCCTTTACTCTGTCAAAGGCCGCGAGCGTTGCAATAGTGTATTTTTAGGAGTTTTAGGAGTTTCAGGTTTTTGCGGCAAAAAGTGCTACGATTTCCCGAATATCCAGTCAAAGGCGGAAACTACGGTTTTTTTCAGGAGGACGAAGGTCCAGGTTTATAGCTTCTTTCCTTTTTTGGAGGGGGGACCCAGTATTTTGGCGGTTGTAAAGGAAGCCAAAGGGAAAACCAACATCCATTTTGGTGGGTCCGATTCCAAAAAAGAAAGACGAGCCACCCACAAGTTGCTTCCCGAGCAGCGCAGTAAAGAGAAACGTCGTGCCGCAGTCGACGCCCCCTTTCTGCTCTTCATGGTGACGGTGGTGGTTTTCGTGCGCCAGCGCCTCAGGGAATAACCACGCTGGGCTTCGGCCGGGCTCTGAAACCAGTGGGGGGTCTAGATTTGACACAGACATACACACAAGCGCCTTTCTTGGGAAAAAGCCGCGCCGTCTTGAGCTTCGGCCGGGCCTATACCGTTGGGGGCTCTAGTTCAACACATACACACATATGCCTATGGCACGATCCAAAAGCCGGGGGCAGGTAGCAAATGGCACACAATGTACTGAAAGTGGCGCCCTCAACATTTACCCTCGTTAAAGGGTCCAGGAATATTGATCAACCCCCCCCATACACACATGCCTGTTTTCTAGCGCGGTGCCAAAGCCTGGGGCTGGCAGGTAGTAGATGGAAATGTGCCACGTGCGCCACTTGGACGGGCTACGTGAAAGTGATGCCCTTCCAACACTGGGGTCTTTTGCTGAGGGTACCGCTTTTTGTGGGTGCTGTCAGTGGTTTGAAAGGAACACCACAGGGAAAACCATTGCCAAACAAAAGTCGCTTAAGGGGCCAACCACTCCCAATCTAGAAACGCCTCAAAACAGGATTCCATTGTTCGACCCCGTTGAAGAGTTAAACCAAGAGGTTGCTTCGCCTTGGCAAATGAACCACTGGGATGAAGTCAACCCTGGCTTATATAACTAAACACTTGACATCTTGCTTCAAAATGCCTTGCCACTTCTTTTGGGACCCGGTCGGGCCTTGTCCAGAAAACTGGAGCCCCTGTGAAACTTCTTCTGCCGTTCCACAAACTTCTGGCGCCGGCTTTGATCCTTCGTGGTGTCGCCGTTCGATTCAGGCGCCATGTGCAAACACGGAGCTTTGCCGCTGAGAGACGTGAGCTGTGCAAGCTGGCTCTTGGATACTGTCCATGCCTCTTTGATCGTCATGTCAGAACCCTCAAGGAGACGGCTAACCTATTCAGCAAGGTCCAGGGTTGTTCAACACTTCAACTCCAAATCTGAAAAAAAGATCATTCTTAATTCATGATCGGTTCGAGAACTGCGGGAGCGAGCGGCTTTCCGTGCACGACCACCCAACGATAAAAAGCCAGCAGCATGCCTCCAATGCGTCCTCTTTACTTGGCGCTGGCATCACAGCCATTGTGCCACCCTGCCCATTGACAACATCACCCATGCAATTCCTTGCCAGCATCCCAACATGAGTCTGGATCCTTGGGGATCCCTAAAAGGACCAGCGCGGGAAGTCGCTCATGAGTTCCTCTGGGTTGGCGGGTAACACTTCGAAAACTCGCAAAACAAGGCGTGGTGTCCCTCGAACTCCCTTCCAATCGAGTGGAAGGGCCAAAACAAGTATCCAAACTTTTAATCTTACCCTCCCACCAGCTAACATGGGTTTGTGCAATGAAGTGCACAAACTTTTGTAGAAAGAGTCGACTTTCCTCTTGGTTAGTTGGCCTTTGTTTGCACTTCCATCTTAGTTAGTGCAGCTAAGGAACTCAGGTCGTTGAGTGAACCGATCCCAGCCTTTCGGAACTCCAAGGAAACCATAGGAAAACCTGACCCCAGCTTCCCCAAGCCACCGGCCTCCGACTCGCCGGAATCCTCCTGGCGCGTTCGCCCTTGGGCCCCAAGCCACAAGCCGAAAAAACGCTTGTGCGACACCCACCAAACTTAACCAACACTTTTGCTCCAGCTCCCTCCACAATCCAAGCCAGTGGAACAATGTTCCAAGGCAGCACCACCACCTCACACGGCGCCCACAAACAGCCAACACTACGCCCCTTCCCACCACACCCACCTGCAAAACGGGTGGGGTTTGGAGCCGATCGGATTGGTGGTTTTTCGGAGAAGTGGGACCCATTCACCACCTGAGCTAGGGCTTCAAAACCCAATCCGGGCTCCAAACCACCAAAGGGGTACCTGAAGAAACTTCGACTGGGGCTCAAAAAAATAAAGCGCCTGCCACTCCCCGGTTTATTCGAGAAAAGCTGGGGGCTTGTTGGCATTCCTTGAGGCAATCCATCACCCCCCAGGTATTAAAGCATGAACAGTTTGCTTGCCGTACAACGGCCCGGAGTCTATGACGGCACTCTTGTGATTGACTATTTCTCATCCTGCTCTACCCATTCCACTTCTGCGATACCGTTTGCAACATCATTGCCAGGCAGCCGAGTAAATGGCGAGTTTCTCGCGCAACAAGCCACTAACCCCCAACCATTCCACAGAAACCTTTTGCACCAGCGGATCCATTTGCCTGTATAGGTAACCAAGGGGGCTTGCCACCATTCAAAAACCCGCGGGAAAATAGCTGGTTACCGACTGTATGGGTATAGAACTGGGATACGCGCGAACAAACAAAGTTCGGCGGCCTGCAGCTGCAGCTGGAAAAAGCATCGCCTGAGATTCGACGTCGAAGCTCGATGGGACGCGAGCCAACGGCTTGTGTGGCCAATCCAACTTGTGGCGACAGGGATCCCGAATCTGGTCATTCCCAAACCAGAAGGCAAGACGCATTTGCGTCAGGATACCTGGAAGATCAGTCCTGTGGTAGTGTGAGGAATGTTGTTCTTCCCTTGAGTTGTATTTGCAGTGTGGCGAGGAGTTTCCCAATCTTGGTGGTCGTCACAGATGCTAGGCAAAAGGTTGCTTACTATGTGGTTGGCACCCCTTTTAATTTGTTGTTGAATATGCGCAGCTGTAGAAAAAGAACATGCTCTTCAGATCAAGCCGATAGTGTCCGTTTCCCTGCAAGTTAGGCCCTTCGTGCTGTTGGTGAAGAAAAACCTGCGCCGGCTTGGTAGGTGGCTTCTCCCGCCCAACTATCCAATCTAGGCGACTTGAGGCTTGGTTCGGAATGTTCTTCCTGTCCACCTGCCTCGAGCCTGACGTTTCGAGGTCCTGAAAGACTGTGGATGGACAAAATCCATTTCGCACCAAGTGGAATGCCTGCACCAGCTGAGAAACACTGGAATGGCGATTCCCCCACAAATGCCAACAAACATTATGGTTTCCTGCAGGATTTCGTCCATCCACAGCATGTTCATTCAAAAGCGACCCTCGGGTGGGTTGGTTCCATGGGAACATGGACAGGAAGTTCCAGCTGCCTGGAGAAATCCTGGGTATTAGTATGGTTCAAAATTGAAGAGCTAGGGTTACGCAAGTGTTAGTCTTTGGTTTCATTTACCAAGGTGCCATTTTGGTACCGGTTTTGTGAGCCACAGCCACCTGACAACACAAAAAAAGGGCGCCGAGAATACGGGCAGTGTGGGTGGCTCGTGATCTTTTGAGGATACCCTCGTTCGTTGGCTTGAAAGGGAGGGCAAAAGGCAACCCTTTTTGGAGATCCTCCTATTTTAAGACACTCCTTTGATGGACGAAAACCCGAACCACCTAACAAACCCTGGAATGATGAGTCCCCTGCAAATGCCAACAAACAATGGTTTGCCACGAGTATGAAGCTGCCATGTCTTGCCCTCAACGTGTTCCGAGGGAGGAGGGGCGCCAGGATATGGCCGCTTGAGTGCTTGATACCCAAGCCACTCTCATTCACTTCCGAGAAGGTTTGTCCGGACCACACCCCTGGCAGCTTTTCACCCGCAAGCGAAGGGAAACACGTCACAGCACCCCGAGCTCCGCGTATTTCCTTGAACTCCCCCCCAAACAAAAGCTCACCCTGAGTTGAGCTGAACCACAAGCTGACAGAATTCCGAAACCCCGACTCGGGGCAACGCAAATGAAGGTTGTTGAAAATATAAAATATGAATTCGTTCTCTTGTTATGTTATTTAGTTGTTTCAAATATACACCATATATTAAGCAATATGTTTTTAATTAAATAGCATTATTCCTGTCCGCTTTAAGTTTTCTTTTCTATATAAAAAAAACGTTAAGTCGTGTAGATCATAAATATCAATTGTATCATCAGAATAGATTAAATACTGGTATTTCTGATATAGTAATAAACGCATGAATAAATGCTTTTGATATATCAATGTCGATTTCATTTTTGATATTGCCCGTATCGCACAATAAGCCAGATGGAACAATTGTTCTGGCTTTGTCTAAAATTTGAATATCAATGTCATTATAAAACGATTTATGAGATAAGTTAAATAATGACTTATTAAAATGAAATATTGCCTTATTCATATTGTTATATGTAGTTTCATCACATACTACAATATAGCCATCTGCAGAAGTTTTTATTAAGTTTTGTGTTTTTTATTATATGTATTGTTTTGTATTCTGATATAATACCAGCCTGAAATCTAATTCTTGGTTTATAGCCACTACAAACTAAATTGAAAAATAATTCAGATAACTTATTGTCTTCGGGTACTAAATATACCTCTTTTGTTTTTTCATCAACTTTGAGACTTAGTATATTGTCAATATTTCTTATCATTTTATAAAGCGGTGGTTCTTCTCTTTCATTAATATAGTAGTCAGTGGAAGCTTTGACAGTTGGTATCTTGGTTATTAATTGTTTCTGCTGAATGCTTTTTACGTTGTGATTATGATGTTCCAAATGTTCATGCTTTCATCCAATTGCTTGTTTTTTCTTCTTCAGTTATTCCTTTCTTTCTGTGAATCTTAAACTTGTTGGCAATTGATATTAAGGGATCTTATTGCGTCTACTGCCATGTTTATTTTTGTTGTTGCGTGTTTTTCTCTTTCAGTTGGTGTTATTCTCATACTCTTGTGCGGTAAAATTCTATTCCTTCATCCTTGAAGTACTCTTCAACGGTGTTATTAGAAAAACTGCCTTCCTCGTCGCTATAAATCCCTTCTGGTTTGCCTTTCATTTTCTGTAATCCTTCCATTACTCCAGCTAATATGTCTGGTGGTTGTTTTGCTTTAATAGGTATTACTATAGAGTATTTGGTAGATATATCAATTAAAACCATCACAAAGTTGATCATGAAAAAATTGTGAGTGAACTTTGGAACACAAACATTAGCAAAGACAATGAGGAAGATAAATGTATAAAAAAACTGGTCGCAAATGTTAATTATGAATTTTAGAAAAAGGGGGAGCAACTAATCAGAAGAGCACAGTGTTTAAAAAACTTAAGGAAGCTTTAAACTATCTGGAGGCAAAATACATAAATTAACACATTTTACAACAGAACAAATTACAGTAGATGAAGAACAACATACAGCAGAAGAAGAACAGGCGTCATATTATATACTTAATTTAAAAGGACACATCACGCTTAAGGAATGGTTTTAGGTATGTAAAAGAGCTACTTCTTCGAAACCATAATTTCCGGAGGGCCCGCGCCACAAAGGGTCTCCTTTCATTGGCATAAAGACGTCCCCCTGGATAAACATCTTTCCAGCAGTGAAATCGTTTCATCTTTAAAAAAAGGAAAAAGGAATCCAACTAAAAGAAAAACAAGAGGGGGGCATGGCAAGAATGATGCTACGTCTCATTCAGAGGCGCGTGTAGCGGGAGAAGCGCTCATGGGTCGGAGGGTTCCTCAGCGAAGCTCCGAGTTTGGGGGACCCCCGTGCTGTTGGGATGTGGGGTCCGATGTCTTGGCTGGACTGAAGACCCCAGCCAAAAAATACATCTGTGCCTGGCTCGTGGAAAACAAAGGGGGGGGGACCCCAAAAAAGCAACAAAAAACAAGAGAGAAGGGGAAGATGTGTGTTCGGAATGAAACCTGGGGATTCCCTTCCTGGAACCCACTAAACAAAATCAGGGGCTTGTAGGGACTGAGCTTCCGAGTGGGAATGAACGAGCTTCTGGGGATTGGAAATCATAGGGATGGATGGCGTTTGTGGGGTAAATCTCTCATTCTCTGAGAGCCAGTAATATAGCCTCAGTTGGAGGGTTCTCTAAAAGGGGATCACCTTTTGCGGCCACTTAAAAAAATGGGAACCCGTCGATTCGCTTGGGGGGGTAGGGTGGGTGGGTGCAGGATACCACGAAGGTGGAGCATGGATTCTGCCGGACTTGTTCCAGCAGTGATAAATTCCTTTTAAAACCAACAAGGGAACAAATCTTAAGCAAATGGAAGTAAAGGACAACCATGGTCTTGATTGGCACCATTCCACTCGGGTTCCGCTCTCATGTCATCAAACCCCAACGAGGAATCTAGCAGCACAAGTCAAGACGGATGATACCCAAGCGAACCACAGAATGCTCGCTGCACTGCAGCCGCAGAAAAAGTTTGTCAGAATGATATGACTCAGTCCTTCTCTCAACAAGAAAGTCATGCCTATCCTATGCATTGCATTGCGTGCTTCTCTCACTTGCCCGTTGGGGACCCATAACTGACAGGTGAGCGAGGAGCAAAAAGGGACCAACAAAAAGGAAAACCGAAAGGTCAAAAGGTCGGCTTTGAACAACTGAGTTCTTGGAGGGGATGTGTTGCAGCAAGTCCTGTTCACATGGCCAAACTTGTTACACCGCAACTATTTGTTGGGCTTCCGGCTCTGACTGGTCAGGGCTCCTGGGACTTTCAATGGAAGACGCAAACCCCTCCATTGAGCACCCCGGGGAGGGTCCCAAATCAATCGGGAGCCTCTGGGTATTTAGCAGCTAGACCATGAACCTTTCCAAACAGGGCAAGAGAGCAAACCTGTTAGTCGACGAATGCACTCGCTTGAGGGCAGTCCTTCGTTCTGAGGCCAAAACGTGTGGAGCACGATCTTCTGCAGCAAGTGCGTCTGCCTCAAGCTGTCCTCTGATTTGGTGGGGCCACCCTGGTGGTTGAAACCTGCTGCAAAACTACTAGCTAGTGTTGAAAGCAGGGTTCCACTTTTTGAGCCCAGACTTAAACCCAGGGGTGGTTCATTCCCCCCAAATCCCCCCAAAATTACAATCCCTGGGTTCAAGTCTATCTTGGGGCCAAAAAGTGGAACCCTGGTTCAAACCATCTCTTTGTGGTTTCCATTTAGAAAAAAATCGGGGATGGCCTGAGGGGCCTACAACCATCTTGTCGGTTCCCCGAAGCTCGTCCGCACATCCGAACTAGGCAGCCATTCAATTGATCTGCAATTGCTGCAACTCAATACGTCCAACACCTGAAACACCTCCATTTGCTTAAGAACATGTTTTTTTTGTTTTTCCCTTGTTGGTTTTTACAGGGAATTCATCACTGCTGAAATATTTTTGTTGTTTTTTTTCCTGGGTCCTTAACCAAATGGAAGAACAACAAATCCCCAAGCAAAGAACCAATGGGTGTTCGCCCGTACCCCCAGATCGGTGAGCTCGAAACCCTGGCAGAATGGCATGTTGGGAGCCGGAAGGAGTCACAACCTGGCCTTCGTCCTCGTAACATGTGCATCTTGATAGCTGCACTAAGACTTCCGCCAAAAAAAACACGAAAAAACACATGCCAAAAAATGTCAAAGTCATCGATTTACAAGGTGATTGATAAACAAACAAAAACATGAATGCGAACACAACTCCCATCCGAACTCGTCGAGTGCCGTCAAAAGCCCGGCCCATCAAAACGCGTGTCTGTCAAAGAGCGCAGCTGGGGCTCCCAAGCCCATCAAAGAGCGCGTCCAAACCTCGGCTAGAAAACGAGAAACTCGGCTTCCCTTGTGGCTAGCCCAAAGGTGAGCCAGGTGGCTCAAACAAAAAAGGAGGTGACCGAACTGACCTTCCAAGTTCCAACTTAGAAAGGGAGTTCTTGGCCTTTGAGGACCCATTTTTTGGGCCCTAAGTGAAAAGACTAACACCTTGTGGTTTGGAGTGATTTCCCATGTATCGAGAAGGGGATACAAATCCAAGCCATTCCAAACCACCAATTAAGGGTTACCTGAGGTCATGTCACGGGCGGAAGATGTTTAGAACACCCTTCCCCCCGCTCCACCGACGACTCCATGGAAGTGCACAGACACCTGTCGCACCTCTTGGAAAGGGCCTTTGTGCACTTCCATGTTGGTGGGAGGGTATCTGATGATCATAACTTAGATTCGTTTTGTTCAGTACTTCATGGCCCCATTCTTTTTACTCAGACCTTCAAAGCGGGTTTTTCAACCTCCGTCCAACCTGGTGCGGAGCGCATTTTGAAACATCCACAGTGCAAGTGCGGGAGGTGACCCGCCCTTTGATCCACCGAGCCTCCGCAAGTGGGGAACGAAGCGCGGAAAGCATATTGCTACATGGCTATGGGTCAAAACCAGGGCTGTGGGGAATGACCACTTCTGTGATACAACAGAAAGGGCTTCCCAAAGACTATTTTGTTCATATGAAGGGGGATTCCCTTGTATCACAGAAGTGGGGAGAAACCCCTTGATCCCACAACCCTAGTCAAAGCCCAAATCGGTTAGCCCCCAGTGAACATCTCAATCCAACCACTAAAATAAAATGGGTGGTGCACCTATCCCGCCATTGGCTTAGAACCACGGCCACATTGCTACATGAGTTCCGCGAGAACACTCTGCCGTAGCATCACATGTGCTCTCATCATCGCGATAGAGTAAGGAGACACACACACACACAACCACACATCACACAGGCACATCAACACACACACACACAAAACAAAACATAAACAGACTCACAATCAGGTACAAGCGTAAATCATAATTGCAAACACAGACACACACAAACAAACAACAACACACGAAACGCAACGCACTGCAACATACCACAACACGCAACTATCCCATACTAAAGGACGATTCCAGAAACAGTCCGCCTCTATCTCCATCCATCATCCAACAAGTGCGGACTCTAGCTAGCTCGCCCGGACTCAACAATCGTGAGCAACGCGTGTTTGTGCCACAAGCGCAGCAGCGCCCAAGAACACCGGCAACTACTAGAAGTCCCTGAGCGGAAGTCCCTGGATTCATAACGAGTTCCATCGAGCATCCGTTGGGTCCTCTATGCAATTGTATAGGGCTGAACTTGACGGTTTTCGCTTCCTTGCCATGCCTTTTGACACTTGATGGTATTCCCAAATAGAGATTCAATGAACGTCTTCATAATCCAGCGGGGGTGGGGGGGGGGGGGGGGCGGATGGTAACATGAACTCTTGTTCTTTCTTTTGCGTCATCCGCCACGCACTCTTCACGAGCCTACTGGTGTGGCTGATGGCTCTTGCACCAGACTGATTCCCTTGGGTTTTGACAAAGAAAAGGACACCAGCCATCTTAAACAGCCATGGCAGTACTCCAAATATGCAGCCCTGTAACCAAAACTCTTTGCCTACCAAGGTGTGTAGAACAGGCCTGCCAATGAAACCGACTTGGCTGGAGTCTGATTCCTGGAAAGGGGATGAGAAAGCTGGAATCGGAACGAATCGCCCCAAGCGTCGAACGTTGAACCATGTTGAGCCAATAAAATTGTGAGCCTTTCTAACCCCTACTGTGGGTGCACCACTTTAAAACCATTGGTGAATGTTACAGTGTCACAGTAATTGTATTTCAAACTCTTGTTTGTGGCTGTTTACAGGGGAATTATTCTAGGGTTTCTTAGACAGTGCGAAATGGACATCTCGTCAGTAGGGGGAAAAGGGAGCGACTCCCGACAAAAGAAAGAGTGTCACCTGCTTCACACCTCCAGCACTCTGGGTCTAAACCCAAGCAAAGGTCGCAAAAATATATATATAAAAAAGAAGCCCCGTATGAGTCAGAATCAACACCCGGTAATAATATGGTCGATCCCCAGAACCATGCTTCAAGCAGGCGGATGTCCGAAACGAATTCTGGCTGGGAGTATCCCCTGGCTACCCTTCATCTACCCAGGTTTTGAGGACGTGGCTTCCATCTCTCCTCGGCCTCTCTGGGCATCCACACCCAGGTAGAAGTAGTTGTAGTAGTAGTCCAGGTTGGGAGATCTAGGCCTCCGTTCCGCTTTAGATGGGAAGTCCCCTGGTTTTGAAAAGGCTAGTGTGCCAAAATAACCCGCAAATTGGGGTGTTTCTAGCCTATGCTTACACTCGAACGATCAAAGCTCCCAACAAGAAGCGCAACAAAGGAGCTTCTGAAAATGGCAACCTGCGAACATTCTAGCTGTTTAGTGGGTTCCCACTAAAGGGGACGGATGGGTCATTTTTGTACAACAAACTTTGGGTTTCCCTTAGGGGCACAGGTCTGGTTGTTCATCCCAGCCAACCCTCTCAGAGTAAGAATTGGCCTGCGCCAGATTTGTTTAAACGTGTTTGCACCCCCCCAGCAAAAAAACAAACATAAAAACCCGCCAGATTTGTTTAAACGTGTTTGCACCCCACCAAAAAGAAAGCCAGCCCCAGGTGTTTTGAACGAGTTGGCGTTGCTCTCAAACCATCTGCAGCATGCTCCAATGCAATTGCGCTGAGGTGCCGGCGTCCGCGAGTGGATACGGAAGGCATCCACATCCTTCACGCAGACCTCTAGAGCTCTTCGTAGCTGGTACCCTCCCAAAAATGCAACCCAGTGGATCCATTTACCCGGTTTTGTAGGTAACGAAGGGGCTTGCCACCCTTTAAGAAACAAACATGTGAAAGTGACCTTCTCTTCCATTTGCTTAAGCCGCCTGGCAAAAATGAGACAGTATAGCGAACAATTCCCTTCAAAACCAACAAGGGAAAAACAAAGATATATTCTGTAACAAATGGAAGTTCTGGAAGATGACATCTTTTCTTCCAGGGACCATCTTTCAGGTTCCACGCATGTTCTTGGGAGGCAGCATGGATGTGTCCCATTCCTGACTCCCTCCAAGCCCGCGAAAGGTTCAAAGCCATTTGTTTGATGCCATTCGGTCACACCAAGACCAGCAAGATCGGCGCAAATTGCAACCCGAAACAGAACATGAGCGAACCCTCCCACACTGGCTGCCTACTTTGCAGGTAAATGGAATCAGAGGGAGAGGCAATTGCCTGCCAGCGTTTTCTGTGTGGACGGATCCAAGCAGCCTTCACAAAACTGGGCTGTCCTCAGATCCTCCTGCGAAAAGTGAACAACTTGCGGGCTAAATACGGAAACCCAGCCACTAGACCAACTAAACTCTTGGGTGCTCTAGATCCCCCTAAACTTTTTGCCGGTTAAAAGGAAATATGAGGGGAATCCCAAAAGTCAAAGTCTAAAGATCCAACCCACTAGCAGTAGAGAATTACGAAGCCAGAGCCACCAAGACCCCTCCCGGGCTTCCGCCCCGCCAACCGCCACCCGCCTGCTGCGGAGGCCCGAAGTCGGAGACCACGTCCTGCGAGTCGACTCCGCTTTCCCAGTGGCGATGGCCTTCGCCGTCGGCCCTGGGTGACCTTTCCAACCCAAAGGGTACCGGCTCCGTTTCTTTTGCAGCCCCGTAAGAAAAGAAAATGAACAGAAGACGCTAAAAACATAAAACCTAAAAGCATGGCAACACCGGTGAAGTTCCCTGCACAGGAATTTGGAATCACTCGGCAGATTGCTCCCCTTCGAACAGGGGCTGTGCAAAGAGCCAACCAAGTGTGGGCAAACGTCTTTTGATCCCGCGACAAAGTGCAGTCCCTTGAAACTTGAAACTTGAAAGCATTTCAGGTGATAGATTCCCTTAAAACTTGAAACCAGCAGAGGTGGCAACTATTCTGAAACATAAACGGAAGGCTTTACCATCGGTCATTTGGGGGGCGAACGGATACTCCAGATCCCCTCTGTTTTAAGGGTATTCTTGAACACCTGGTTGTCCATGGCAACTACCTCTCTTTTTTTTAAGTAAAGGGTCGACATCTCGTCCCCTAACAAAACGGGCAGACCTATGCTAGGTCCTCCAGTTTTGGAGGTTAGAATAAGTTGGTACCCACTTTTTTCCTATTTGTCTATTTTAGGGGAACCTCCCAACCAAAAAAGGGGGTGAGAAAGGGCACCCAGCTGGGGGACCTACCTATGGCTCCCCTCCGCTTTCGCCTGCGGCATGGCGCCGAAGAGCAGCTTCCGGCCCTGCAGGCGGATGCCCTTCCCCGGCGACACCTGCACCGCCTCAGCTCGCGCGCTGCGGAGCCGCGGCTCGACCAGAAAGTTGGCGACGGGGACGTGTAGGGAACTTGCACCCAACCCAAACAATCAGCCAGTCAGCCAGCTCAAAAACTGAAATTATTTGTTGCAACTAGAATTTGGATTGGTGTCCAACTTTTTTCTGGGTAGTCCTTTCGGGTCCAGGAATACGGGTTTCTTCTGGGTCAAAGGGCAAATATGTAAGCGACACATGTTCCCCCAGAAAGACAACGGGAGCCATATCGGCCAAGACTGTGGACGGTTCCTGGTTGCGAAATCCATTTCGCACCGCCATTCAGAAAGCCTGGAATGATTCGATGCCCCCTGTTAAATACCAACGAACGTTGTGGTGGCCCATGGATTCATTGCGTGCTGCGAAGGGGATTTCGTCCGTTCACTTCATGGGCCTTGGGTTTTGGAGGCAACGCTCAAGGAGCTCCTTGGCCATACGGGAAACCAGTGGTTCATTCTTCCAGTGGTTCATTTCCCCTCGAAGAAAGGGGCGAAACTAAAACCCAGTATATAGTGAAACCGATTCGCTTCAAAACCAAGAAGTCAAGGCAACATAATTACAACATATTCCTGGAAGCATTTTTCTGCCGGACAAGCGCCTCTTCTACAAGCCCCTTCAACCGGATTCCCATCCATTCTTCTTGCCAGGGGAACATGTCGGGGGCGGTTTGAAATGTTGAAATGAAACCAACATGACGCGACCAAGTCGGTAGAAATGGCAAAATCAAACATGGATTCCCCAAAGCTCCATGTAGGTGATACTGCGGATGGACCATATAACAATTGGGGTAAACTACCTACCAACTGGTGCAGGATTTTGTCCATCCACATTTACCAACATTTGGACAATTGTGTGGAAGCCATGGGCAAAGAAAGGCAAGTAGTACATGGGGCTGTTTTTTTTTGAGGGCAACTATTTTTGGGGTTGGCGTAAGGGGAAAGCAACAGGAAAACCATGCTTCTTCTTCTTCTTCTTCTTCTTTCTTGGGGGCCCCCCCAAAAAAAAGAAAGGCACCCATCAATATTTTGGGGTTCTTAGATAGCTTCTGACGAGCTTACCAAGTCGGGGTGAAAGGAGCTCGGGCTTCATGATGAAGGTATCTTTTTGGAATCGGGTATGAGTTTAATTGGCCCCTGGACCCTTTGGCGGACATCATCTGGATGGGGGTTCATGTCCACCTAGGTTTTCCAGTAGAGAGGTTAGAATAAGGGTACCCTTCACGTCAAAATACCACAATTATCGAAACTCCCTGAGATCTCTCTCTCTCTCTCTCTCTACGAGTGCTTCATCAGGTCTTCCCCTGGTGTCCACAGAACTGGGTCAGCTGTCACAGGCAACTTGCGCCTCCCCCAGCAAGAAAGAACCCTTTTCCCTGTAGTCTATTTTAGAAGGGTAACCCGCGGCAACAGGGCACTACCTAGTAGAGGATCTCCGTCTTCAGCAGGTACTTTGCCAACTTTAGTCATTTGCCCAGATCCTTCCATTTGCTTTTTCGTCCCCTGGACAAAATGAGGAACACATCCGGTCGTGAAATCGACGCCCTTTAACCCTAAGGGTCCCGACTGCTTTTGGGCCCTCCAAACGGGTCGTTCTTGAGAAAGTCGGGGTTCTCCATTGGAGAGTCCGGGGGTCTGCATTGGAGGGGTCATGACCCTTAGGGAAAAACAACGAAAAACCACAAACTATAGGATATACTTTTATCAAATGGAAGATGACCCTTTGCAAAAAAGCAACAAACAATAGATAGCTTTCAACCAATGGAAGGATCTGCCTGCCACCTGCCCATCCCTCTGAACTCGCCGATTCGCAACTCGCCTCGATCGGCACCACAGAGCGGGGGCTCTGCAGTGACGCTTGCGCTGCCTCGGAGAAACGCGGCGGCCCCGGAGAGGGGCTTTCGTCCGGAAAAAAACTGCCCGGAGGCTCCATGACCCGAAATAAAAATGGTTGCTCAGTACACCTTTATTTGGGGTAATGACCAACCATTTTTAAAGGGTCATGGAGACTCCAGGTGGGCTGCCCGCTGTCCGAGGCCCTGACACTTCAACTTCTGTTGGGTTAAATGAGAATTGCAACCACGAAACCAACTACAACCCACGAAAAACTTGAGGAACCGGCCGATGTTTCGCTGAGAACCAAGAAAACCAGCCAAACCCTAAACACACACACACACACACATCTGCCGGTCGGTGCGGCTTGAAATCGGGCCCGGAGAGATGCCAGCCCATTCGACCTCGAGGGGTGGCACGGGGATTCGAGCCCTTGAGGGGGGGCCTGATTCTTGCAATATGTTTGGCCCAAAGCAATTTCGGCATTTCAGCCCCTTACCTTGCTTGCGCAAGAAGAATTCCTCAGCCAGCTTAAGCTAGCTTTCGTGATGATACGTTCCAATAAGGAGAAGGGTCAGGTAAAACGTTATTTTTTGTGGACACGCGCACATCTTCAAGGGTGCCGAGCGGAGTGGAGCCGAAAAAAAGTCCAAGCCGTCCCCACGTCTTCCGACCAAGCTCCCGGGCATACACCCACATCCAGCACGCGCTTGGAGTCGGCCTGAAACGTTAAACGAACCTGGGCCTGAGGCAGGCCTCGCATATCCTGGCATATCCTAGCATATGGCATGCTCATAGGCCATGCTCTCACCCACATCATGTGGGAGGTTGACCACTCTTTCAAGTCTTTCTTGCGGCTTTCCCCACTAAACATGGCAACACTTCTTTTCCACTTCCGTGTTGGACGGAGACTTTCAATCCTTAAATACGGACCCTAATAAAGGACATTCATCATGGCTGAGCACGTCTTACCCCTAAATCGGCAAGCTCCCCAAGACTTAAGTCCCCAAAATGCTTGTCTGTTCTTGATTTCCACCAGATCCTGTTTCTTTGTACAAGGAAGCCTTCTGTGTTCCTGCCTTTCCAAACCGGTGCCAAACACGACCCCAACGCAATGCTCATCATCCCCTCACTCTAATGGCCAAACTCCTGCACCAGTTGGGATGCACCAATGGGGTAAGGCACCCACCAACGGGCGCAAAGTGGATTTGGTCCATCCTCGCCATTCCCGCACTCATGTCCTGAGTGGATTGGCCTAAGAAAGTCAAGCTTTTAGCTTTCACTGGCAACTCACCCACCCCAATCTGTTGGGTTGCAACAAAAAAAACATATATATTTTTTTCCAGTTGGCATTTGGAGAGAGTTTTAACAGGACAAAGACCCTGCCCGACTTGAAGGCTTCGTCGACTCGGTGGCTCTGTGGCTCGGGCCCGCCTTCCAGCGAGGTCCATGGGGTGTTCGCCCTTCGCCTCTGCCAGTTGACTGCAACTCATCGGGAAAAATAGGGTGGGGGTTGGGGTTTGGGCGGGGGGGGGGGGGGGGTTGGCGGGTTTGGAGGGGAGCTAAGTGATCCGATCCGATCAGACCTCTAAGGAAACAAAACCCCACCCAGTTCCACCACTTTTGACCAACAACTACCATGAACCTCGGAGCCCCAGAGCCATTTGGATGCAAGGCAAAAACAAAAAACAACGCAACATCTCGCACTGATCGCAAGAAGTCTGGCTGCCATTTGCTCCATGACCATGGATCTAAGGTATGAGTCATAATCAAAACCCGGTAATAAAATTGTCGAACCAAAGAACCATGCAAAGAATTCAGAAGGCGGCCGCAGCTATTTATGGTTGGGATTGCCCCTTACTAACCTTCATCTTCCCAGGTTTTTATTGTGGCTCATATGGCGATGGAAACTGCTCAACCGCCGATCACATCTACTCCCATCCGTCGGTTTTTGTACGTTGACCAAATCACCGATCAGGACTAAATCTGCAAACTCACAACTTCCAGAGGAAGGAGTCGGAAGCACATGATCCACCGTAAACATTCGTTGTATCCCCCAATGACATTGGGTTTTGGATGGTTTTGGTGAGCTATGAAACAATGGTGTCAACTGTGTTCTAGTCCGCATGGTGGGGTTTGTGACCCTGGTGCCCCTTCGAGTTTGTGCATCGCCTTTTCTCGCTGCGCGGCAACTGGGGCAATGTCGGGAAGCGAACTTCTTGCCGCTGTCCGCAAGCCCTTGGTTCAAATAAGCACGAATTTTACTCGATCGGGGGCAACCAAGCATTCTTTTTCAACGCCGATATTGAATCGCGTCGCCATGCGGCTGCATCATGGCTGACACACGCCAACGGTGGTTGGTGGTTGATCAAAAGATCCTGTACATCGGCTGACCATCAGAGAAACCACCCCCCAAAAAAAAGAGCATGATGGTCACCACCAAACAGAATCCCCAAAGAAGAAAGGCATGTCGAACAAAGTTGCAGACTGATGCTGCTCCTAAGAATTCAATGGTGAAGCTTCACCCCCCTAAACCCTCAAAGATCCAACTTAAAATGCGTTGTTGCAACCCAACATTCTGGGGTGAATTCCTTTTTTCTGGGTAGTTTGAGGGTCCAGGCCCACACTTTGGTTGCCCCAAGGATGACTTCAGCAGCGATGCGGGCGTCCGGAGCGTGTGTTCCAATCGGGGCGATTTGGGTATGAAGCTTAATCGGGGACCCTTTGGTGGACCCTGGACATCATCTACATTGAGATTTATGTCCCCCAACCATTTCAGAGGGTGTTCTCCATTGAACATGCATACCCGATTGACGATGCAACCATGTATGTCATGGGCATGTATCCCTGCGTGTCTCTGTGTGTCCAAGCTTGCAAATTTGTTGGTCCTCGTCTGACAAAGCATAACACACACCCTTCCCCTTGAAGTTCTTGCAAGTCAACGCACAAAATTGTTGGCTGCCATTGTGCTGGCCGGCAAAGCCTTGAGGCCTTGATGAGTGTCAACATTGGCCGTGGCATGCTTTCTGCGCGAAGTGTAATGCTAATATGAGCCACATTGGCTCACTGAACCTCGTGTATGTGGCAAAATAGGAGGGTGCCACCCAAACAAATGAAGGTGTGTCTCTTGTTTTCTGTTTAAACCAAGGAACAAACACACATAATATATATATATATATTTATATATAATGTATATCAACATAAATTATATATTCATCTATTCACTCAACAAAACCCACGCCCATGTTTGCAATGCACCCTGAAGTTCTACCGTGTGTTAGAGGCTCGCCCGCGCAACTGGAACGCGCAACTCTCAACTCGCCATTGCCGGATCTCGCAGCGCCTCGTGCGCCGGAAACTGGTTGCACTCGACTGCGGTTTCCTGCTAGCAGCCGTCAGGAACCGACAGTTCGTCCAAAAGGTGGCGTGAGAGCCGTTGGCTATGGCCCCGTTTCAAAGGAAAACTTCGGAACATGCGCAAGAAAAACATGTATGTCTTTTGCAGCCCGCTCAAAAAAGTAGAGAACCACAACAACAACTGCAAACCCAAAAACATGCCGACAGTGAAGTATAGCTCAAAGGCCTGAGCCATGTCCAGGTCCTCCAGATTTGAGAGGTTAGAGTAAGGGCACCCTTTTTTCGGTAGTCTATTTTAGTAGGGGAACCCTCCCCCCAAAATAGAAACGGTAAAAGTTGGCACTACTGGGGGACCTAGACGTCGAAGGCACTTGCCATTTGTGAAACGGACCGCCTGGGTATGGGGGGCGTCCGAGTACCCAGCGAGCCGGGGCCGACTGGGCCGGGTGGGAACTTGTGGCATGACTGACAAGAGGTCTGCCTAGACCCTCAAACTAACAAGAGGGGAATTCCATTTTGAAAGGGAAGGGAGGCATCCCCCTAAATTAGACTTGTAGATAAAAAGGGAATTCACAACAAACATGAACGTTGGGTGGACTGCTACAAAAAGGAGAAAAGAACCCATGAAAAAGGGGTGCTGGGAACAGACCCTTTTGAATCCATTCGAAGATCCCGGCGACCCCCACAAGGTTGCTAGCGTCCGAGGCTATGGGCTGTGGGCCAATCTTAGGGATCTGCTCGGAACCTGTGCTGGGACTACACTCCCTCAGACTAACAGCCGGAAGCTCCCAGGACTGGGAAGGCTTTGGTTCCATTGAGGCCAATTGCAGCTTCCAGGTTGGGCTGAAGTGTAAAACCTGCGGTCCCCCGTTCAATTTTATCCCATGCCCGAATCGAGCTTTCCAAACATCCCGAGCAGGTTCAGCGACGCTCCGTTTCATCTGGCCCGAAAACCGCCGAGCAGCTATACCTGAAAACTGAAAACCGCCGTTTCCACATGCTGGTTTCGCGAAAACCGCCATTCTCCACTGAAGGTCTGATAGGACATGGCTTGGAAACTACCATTTGTACATGGGTGTTTCAGGTTGAAGCCCAAAGCGGAAAGGATTCCTTTTTCCCTCACCCACAAGCCCAAGCGCATCCACTCTCTGAATCTCAAAGATTTTGTTGTTTAGTTGTTTTTTGGTACAACTCAAGATGAGAGAACGTTGGGAGTCGCAGAAAACGCTTCGGCTAATACGGCTGCCAAGGCCCGGATTTTTCGTGGCGTCAGCTTTGGACGGCCAGGGAAATGTGTCGCGAAATCGGCAGAAGGTTTGGCGGCCGCAGCTCATTGCGTACCCTGACCAACTCTTCATATGGATGGACGAAATCGTTCGTATAGCCCACATCTTGGGGTACACGGAACATGACATCTTCAGATGTTTGGAAGATCAGCATTGTGGGTTGGTGGTTTGCAGGTTTGGTGTCTACCGAGCGAGGAAACACAGGACCCAAAAAGTATGCAACAAAAGTTTTACCAGCCAGAAGCCGAAAAAGCATATGGGTGCGTGTTTGAGGGTACCCTTTTCACCTTGGTTTAAAGGGACGCCTCGGGAAAACAACCTTCGTCTCTGACCCACTTGACCGCTTCGCGCAAACCTATGCCGCGCGAGCTTTGCGCGGCATGTGAGGCGAGCTCCACCCAATCAAACAAACAGGCTTGTCGAAGCAACCTTCTCAAACACTGGACCCTCAACATTCCCTTAACAAATTGGCATATTGCCCCAACAATTCGGGTGAGTTTCTTTTGTGCAGGTAGTTTGAGAGCATGTTTGCGTCGCATGGCCGGCAACTCACATGGAGGGATTGCTGGAGTTTCCCAGCTGTGGCAGTCGTTGGCCACGTGGTACGTTTTTGCGTTGCAGGTGGGCGGGTCAATGCGAGCACCGGCCCAAAATTGAAATGATCGATGTGCCGGCATTCTCCAAACGTCTTTGCGATGAAAACTGACTTGCTTCCCCAAAAGGACATGGGATTAGGATGGTCCCCTGCTTCTGTGGGGTCCTAACTTTGGAAAACTTGCCAAGGATGAGCTGGAGTCTCCATGACCCTGTAAAAATGGGGGTCATTACTCAAAATGTTGGGGGGTTACCACCCCTTTTTCTAGGGGTCAGAAGGAGACTCTAGACAGTAGGATCTGGTGAATTATCATATTTCTGCAACCTGAAAGGTGGTTGGGGGGCTATTCCCCACATAAACCACCATTTGGGGTGAGATCGTGTGAGGTCGTTATAATTCACCGGGAAGGATGAGTGAGTTTGGAGAAAGGGGCAGAACCCCGTTGGGCAGCTCCCGTTGGGTCGAACTACTCCGAATTCCGAAGCTTGGCCACCTCCACCTGCGTCCAACGGAACGCGCTTGGGTGTCTTCCGACCACTTGGACTCTCAACATTCCCGTACAATAAGTTATTGCCCCAACACTAGGTCCTCCAGATTTGAGAGGATCGAATAAGGGTACCAACTTTTTTTGTCTGTCTATTTTAGTAGGGGAACCCTCCCCCAACAAGTTGGTCAAAGGGCACTACTGGGGGACCTAGACCAGCATGAGGTGAAATCCCTTTTTGGTAGCTTGAGGGTCCAGGCCGCAGCCTCGCGACAGGTTGCCCAGCTGGTATGAAAATGCGGGGAATCCGAACGCCCGAACGAATCAGCGATGCTTCCCCTACCGCACCCGCTGATCCAAAGAAAAGGTTGCTTGCAAAGCGGATCTGGGTGACCCCGGGACCCTGCAAAAGTTTGCCAAGGGTAGCGCATCCAAGAAAAACCCGCATTGCTATCCGTGAGCGAAACTAGCCAGCCCAACAACGACATGCACGACTTAGTGGTTTGCCAAGTTCTTGAGAAGATCAAAGATAAATGAACACCTTAAAAACTTGGCTGGAATTAGGACCCCAGCAATATATATATATATATATATATTTATATTTGCCTGGTTAGTGGAAAACAAAGGACCCCAAAAAAGCAACACATCAAACAGGGGAGCTTATTCCGGGGAAGAAAAGTCATGAAGATCCGAACTTGGGCCAGGTGAGGACAACTTAATTCCTCCATTTGCGTTTTTGCCCCCGGT